CTGTATACAGTACCCTTCAGGGTGCATTCACGAATTGAAAATGTAGAGGCAATAACTGAGCGAACGCACAAAAACTTGTTAATATTTTGTAAGTTGTGTTGTCATTTAGTAGAAACTAGTTAGAGAATGAAATCAAAGTCGGGTAGTCATCCATTATGACCGTGTTTAATTTATTTGTGCATTGCGCTAAGTGCAGCACCATGCCTTACCACTGAAAATGAATGTGAGCCAGTTTGTTAAAATTTACATCTTCATAACCTGTTTCACTGAGGTTAATTTTAATATTAATAGCACAAATGGTCTGTGCTGACGTTAATTTATTAGGCATGTATATAAATATCATAAAGGAGAATGTAGGAATTATATTAAAAGTCAGTAATGGGATTGTTGTAGAAATAAACAGGCAAATCTAATTATAATCATGTTCAAAAATGCAGAACAGGCTTATAATATAGGACTGACTAGAAATGCCATTCAGAAAGATGTAAGAAATCAAAAATATTTGGAAAATTCTTGCTACTGTTCAGTTCATAGTTCTTTTTTCTGTTATTTGTTTGTGAGAAAGCGTCTCTCTTTCTAAGAGGAAACGATAGACTGAGGCGTTAAATGCCGAGGAAAACTTTTGGATCCGTAAGAGAGGGAATGACAAGATGATGGTGAAATGTATGTAATGAAAACTGAGCACAGGTAGGAAGATAATATTGAAGTAGTCTCTGAATGGGTGGACTGATTTTAGCTGATTCAGGTTCCATAAGGAAAAGGAAGGTCCTTCATGTAATTTGTTTTTCTGTCCTCAAGCATCAGTATTAATATAAGTAAACAAATTAAAGAAATTTGAGCAGTTTAGTGTCACATATTTTTGGCCATATTTACAGTCGCTATTTTATTGTAAAAGGAGAGAAGAAATTTGTTGAACAAGAGAGTATGAATTGTTTATACTATGCACAAGTCCATGAAAATATTTATATGGCGAGTGCGTTTGTAATATTTTTATTGTTTTTATATTGTTTTATGTTGTATTTTTGTTTCAGGTTTGACATGTTTTGTTATTCATATTTGTTATTTATCACTATTTTTGTCATTTATTTTATATGTTTTTCGTACACTGATGTAAGTGCAAAACGTCTGAGCAGATTTAAGGGAACTTAATTATGTAAGTGTTGTATTAAAGTGTATGTGGAACTCAGTAGGCCAGGCTGAGGAGTTCATAATTTTAATTACACACAAAATTGTATAGGTTTTACATCACTTTAACGTCCTTAAAAATATGATATTATCAAATAAGCAGTATATTTCTAGGAAATTTCACAATCACAGTGTTTGTAGTATAACCTTGGAATTTGTCAAAAAGTGCACACTGCAGTTTTGTCAGTCTTGTTTGGATGTAACTGGACCATATTGTAAGAAAGTGTTGTGAAACTGTTTTCCTTATAAAATTGCCAACCCAACATTCTCTTTCTTTGGTTTAAGAGTGAGAATGCTGAATTGCCTTGCATTCTGAACTACAACTATTGAAATTCAGTTTGGTTTAAGAGTGAGAACGCTGAATTGCCTTTCATTCTGAACTACAACTATTGAAATTCATATTCTTTTCCATATACAAAGAAAGTCCTTAAATGTAGGATTTGAGGTTTTCACAGCGGTGAGTATGAAGATTTCTGTCTTCTGGGTTGTTGCACTATTCATCACCCTGATGACGGAGGCAGTATGACCTCTGAAACGTTGGTTAACATCGACCAGACTACCCAGAAGACGGAAATCTTCAAAGTTCTTAAAGTTAACTTAGTAGCATTGATATTGTTTTGAGTGTTTTTAGCCTTATTTATTTAATTTTAATCTGCAAACTTCATAATGTTTACATGCTTCTGACTTACAAATTGAATTGCAGATAACATATACATTTTATAACAAAAGAGGCATACATTTATGTATAAAACATTTTAACAAATACGATTAATTATTCCTCCATTTTTCAGGTTTACACAGCGGTGAGTATAAAGATGGCTGTCTTCTGGTTATGTGGTGGCAGTTTAGTGATGTTTCAGAAGTGCTTGCTGCCTTCATCATCTGGGTGATGTGGAGGCAGCAGGCACCTCTGAAATATTGATAAACATCTATCAGACTACATGGCACAACACCCCAGAAGGCAGACATTTTAATTTGTTCTTCTCTTCATAAATTCACCTTCAAATATGCATTTGTTTCTAATAAAAGCAACTTGATTCTTACACCTTATAGAAGTATAGTAAATGGCATTTAACTTTACTTACTCAAGTTACTACCTCAGAATAAATCTGTCAGTCTTCAGGACACTCTTGGCTATTTGTGACCTGCAGTATTGTTTCGATAAAATAGTACGCATTTTCAATGTTTTTATAGCTTTTTCAGTAATACTTGCATCCATCTGTGCTAGATAAAATGTAGAAGGCTAGCCAAGTAAACCATGCATTCTTATACTTTACACTTACAACATGATAAAGAAGTACTTTATGTGTGTTATAATGTTAAAATATTTATGATGAGCTGAACTTGGGTGCACAGTGTATTTAATTCAGCATTGCTCAAATAGCAGAAGAGGATGAACCATGTCTGTTACAAAATAGTGGAAAATTGGCTTCTGTTGCTATGCACTCTGGGTATTCTGCAGTCATATTTTGGAAGAAATGTAATGGCTGCATGTGGGGAAAAGGAATATGTTTTACAATTCAAAGGTAACACATATTTTAAATGTCAAAGTGTGACCTTTGTGACATTAATAAGTGCCATGAATGAATTATTTTGTTGTAAGTGCTTTTATAAGCTGTCAAGATGCTGACTTCTAGTTTTACATTTCCCTAATTAGTGTTTGTTAGATATATTTTTTACACTTGTGCATTTAGTGTAAATGTTGATTGACTAAACATGTTTTTCACAAATAAATGCAATGAAAATAACATGTTAATTGTCTTGGTTCCACTTTTTATTGTGCAGGTAGAATTTGAACTGTTGTCCATATATTGATCTTTTCATGTGCTTGAACAATTGATGAATTATGGTTGCCTTTTCTCCTTTAGACAAAATTATTTGAATGATTTATTGTGGTAGACCGTTTAATATAATGAACATTTTGTTTTCTGTGGTATATACAAAGTGAAGTTGCAGTGCTTGAGTTATTGCAATCTTGGAGAAGACTGAAAGCAGGAAAAAATTAGATTGTAGTTTTAGTGAGGACTCCATACATAATTTGTTACCTTCCAGATTTATACACGTTTGATTAGGCTATCATTTCAGTTTTATTGAATGTATTACAAGTTTTGAACCAAGTTCCTGTGAAGTTAGAAGTGTAACATTTTAATTATTACTTTGTGTTAGTTTGGAATATAATGCAATATCGAAGTGTAGTACAATTGTCCTATGGTGCCTGAACTTAACATAACAAACAATTTAAATTGAAACTAACGTAATGGAAGATGAAAAATTTGTATATGCCCCCCTCCAATCCAAGCTTTTTGATTAGTTATGTATAGTGGTAGTTGAAACTGGCCGATCCAAATGTAAGGTGATGAATGGTTCGGGAACTTTCTGTAAACGTCTCAAATAATTGACTGAAATTGGACTTTTAGTTCTGGAGTTTATTCATGTGTAGAGCAAAGAAAACAAATCATCTTAGCTACTCTTCCAACCACAGGCAGATAATTGAACGCATACCTCTAGTGTATAGTTACAGAGAATATCCTGCACTCTGGTGTAGAAAATCTCTTTGCCATTCCTGTCCTTTGGTTTACTTCTGCCTGTGACTACTCCTTGTAGTATTCCGTGTTTTTTTGCGAAGTTACTGACGCTGTGGAAGTAGTGTGGAAAATAGCTGATGTTCTTGCATATCTAAAGTAGGGGAGTTGTGAAAAAATCGCAAGGTATCTCTCAGGCATATGTTATTATTGAATGAAAATATAAGATACTTTTCTATCTAAAATTTAACTTGTGTCGGTAAATATAATCTAGTTTCCAATGTGTCTGCTTTGTAATCGGACATTTTGTGTGTGGGTGTTACGTTCGTAATTGGCCGAATTTAATTTTGTAGTTGTCTGTTGTAAAGTTGTATTGGCAGATAAAGCATGTGCGAGCAGATTTGATGTTTTATGTTTGCTTAAATATGCGTATTAGCGGGAAGTTAAAGTGTTTTTTTTTTTATTGATGTCGCTTAAGCGTAGGGATGCATACACCGAGTTAAATATTTCTAGTCTTCGTTGTATTGTATTATATTAAAATATAAGGACGGTGAAACATCTAAAGTTGTACAACGTTTCGAAGATTACTACCTGAGAATCCAGTTATAAACACAGTTTTGGAAGAAATATTGACGTTTTGAGCAAACATAATGAAATGTATATATGGCTGCGAAACATGAATATCCGATATCGCCGATCTGTTCATTTATTGACCTTGTTAGAGTTTATTAGCGTCTTTATTTCTGTGGATTTGAGATCATATTTTTATTGACATTATTAACTTTCACCAGGACACCTGTTCAGAGCATTCTGAGTTGAAGGTGAATGAAACACAGACTTCTTTTTAATTGCAGTTTTATACTTTCTGTGAAAGATGTCTCAGAACAGAGGATATCGTCGGGATGGCAGGCAGTCCTATCAGATGAACTCTTCAGCACATTACGGTGGTCGTTCTGGGCAGCAGATGAATGTGAATCCATGGGAAGGGGGCTTGGTTCCAGGAGGAAGATCTGGAGTAGGAGGCTTGCTGCCAACACCTCCACAATCATCAAATCTCTTGTCCCAGTTATCATCACCTGAAGCACAATTGGCTCTTGCTAGCAACCTGCTGTCAACACTGCTGCGACCTCAGCAGCCTTCCCCCGAAGTAGGCATTTCTCTGAACATGGCATTAAAAAGACACTTTATACATAAATAGCACAATGTAAATTTATCTTCAGTAGGTAATGTGTATGATGTAGCGTTTAACTCCACATAACATGTTCAGGTACCATCTTTACTGAGTTTGGGTTCACTTGGTCATCTGGGAAATGCACCAGGCGGTTCTGGGTATAGGCAGCATTCTGGCTATGGTCCTGGCAGATATCAGGACCCTGGTCCTAACAGGCGTAAGCGTATGGAATCACGGAGACAAGAACCGTACAATAAGGTAAGGGCTGTGAAAGTTCTCGTATGTTTATGTCATTTTGTTCTTCAAAATGATACGGCTCCCAGTGAAAAATACAAGATTCTTCAAGTTGTATATCTTTCTATGCAAATGTCTTGAAGCTCTATGCTTACAAGTCATTCTGAGAACATTTTTCTTTTCAAAGTTGTAAAGTCTGCCTTTCTTGTTAGGGGAATTACAAAACTGGTTCTGGTCATCTGTAAACATTGCTCTAGATTCCAAGTTTCCAGTCACTGTTTTCTATCTAAACACTTACTTTTCTACAAAGCTACAAAGATGCTAGGCCCCAAAACACACACCACTACCTCCTGCAACCGTGAAAACCAACAGCATCTTAAAATATTTGCTCTTCTGAGGGAATTGGACTTGTGTGTAGTAGAATAATATAATAAACCTGATTCATATTTTACAGATATGCCATCTCATATAGTCAACGATCTGTACATTACTCAGTTCTAAGCATCATGTGCCATCTTCAGAGCTGAAGTAAATTGTATTGCATTTTGTTTACTGCTTCTGAATCGTGTAACTCTTGTCATGTTCAACTAACAATATTTCTGCACCACTTTGAAGCTTCAGACACTGATCAGGATCTGCAGCCTGTTTCATTTCTTCTATCAATATATTCACTGTGTCTCAAAGACCTGGGCCATGCTGCAACAAATTCTGTAACCATGTTGATTCCAATCCAACTACTGACATATGGGTAATTGTAATACTGACATACAGCCCACGCAGGGTCGTCGCCCTGCCCCTGCCAGGGGGGGTCCCGAGAGGAAGCCTGGTGGTAGCCAGGGGTTGCGAAGTCCTAGCATAGGGAAAAGTCGCAGTGGCTCAGGCACCAAACCTGGGGTTAAAGCTGACAGAAAGGATGATGACAAAGAACCTAAGAAAGACAAAGACCTGGAGGATGATAAAAGTAGTGGAGCAGAAAAGAAAACTGATGAAGAGGATGTTAAGAGGTAAGCAGATGCCTTTCAACATTACTTTCCTTCTGTTCTTTCTGTGGCGTCTTCGTTACGCACACAGAATCAAGCATTTCCCCCAAGCAAGCAGTGTCGTCTGTGGGTCACAGCTACGTGGCAACACTTAGTTATGTTAACGTGATTAATATTGCCAGTCAAATGAAAAACCATTGCAATATTGGGTCTTCACATTCTGTTTGTGTAAGGTCTGATGGCCTCACATATCTGTATGTGGATTGTTCGTGCTCCTCCGGGGTAGATGCACCGTTATAATATACATGTGTATTTACCTCATTTCTACCCAGTGCAGTCCATTGTACAAGTGTGCAACACTAGTAAATCTGTTAAATTTTAAAATGATGATATGCACTTATTTTGTTGTGAAACTTTGCTGTACATTGCAGCTTATCTCTCATTATACTGGTATAGTTGTATTACGTTGATAATTCTTCGTTCATAGATTTTAATTCTAATACTACCTAGACATTTATTGCATTTTCTTGCATGTGGAGGATTTGCACTGTGTTGTGTACTGAAATGTTTCCTGATTTGAAATGCAGATGGTGAATTTTATTTATGCTCTGTTCTGTAACATACAGTTGAGCTCATGGTTTCAGATGACAATCACCATCTGACAGATAAAACAATTTACCCTAGTGTCACAGTCATTGAGTGAGTAATGACTTACGCTTTGTGATGTTTCCTCTGCCATCCTGGAGGCAGCAATCCTTAACCTGAGCATCCTCATTCTGGTTGTAGTCTGCAAATAATTCATGTAGAATGTAATTTGTTCAAGATATCAAATGCGTAATTGTTCGCCATGCTGTAATCAGTGGAGTCTTTTTTTTTTCATTTTCTTCAAAGTGAAAATACATTTCCACGAATACGTTCAGTGTCTGCTGAAAAACATGTCGCTGTCTTGCATATTTGCATTTCTGCATTGAAGATAACATTCTCGGATGCATCTGATATTATTCTCAGTCTCATCTTACGTGATATGTGCGATATTGTAGACGGTATACCAAGAAAACTTACAGACGTGAAAGCGACATTCAGACATGATTGGGAAGTAAATTGAAAATTTTTTTCCACAGAGGAATTGGAATATTTTGAAATGGCCAGTTTCTTTGTTGCATCAGATGTGTGTCCAGAGCTGACATGAAATCCAACATATAATGTGAAGATTTCTTCACTTTAACTGCTACTTTTTTCTTGCGTGTTATGATGTTCCTCTTCCATCTAGATTCTGGCAATCCTGATTACTGCTTTTCCATTGTTTTCATATTTATGAAGAAGATTCCGGGGCTCTTGGCGTGTGTTGAATGCGTATGTCTCAAGGCAAGACTCGTGGCATGCCAGACTGATCATTCAGTTCTTGTCTTGTTTGAATTCCTTTGTACATTGTAATTTGGTTTCCACAGCTTCATATTCAGGTTTATCTTCACTTACATTCAAAAATATTCTGACATGGATTTTCTTCATATTTGGTTTGTATAATGTTGAATTATATCTCTTTGCCCTGTGAATATCTGTCGTGTCTTTAAATCAAGGTACTTTTGCTTGAACGTGAGGACCAGACTATTAAATGGCTGTTATGAATTCATTAAAAACTTTTATTGGTTGTGATTAAATTCAGTTTAATTAAGGAGAGGGGTGCCCAAAGTTAATACTGCATAATTTATATGTTTCAAGGATAATGAATGGTTTGATGTCTAGGAGCTGTGTATTTGTACCTTTAATGAGCAGATCAGTGTAGTATATATTGCAGCACTCACAATTCCTAGAATGGGCTACAATAGAATCAGTTGTTTTGTTCACACTTTGACGCTTGGTCGCACATGATCACCTTGGTGAGATGAATTTGAAGTTTTATCCTGGTCCTTCGGCGATTGGATTTTGCTGGCCCAGGACAGGGACTGGTGGAGGGCTTTGGTTAGTTTGGTGATGAATCTTTGGGTTTCCTAAACCACCTAGTTAGTTATCCTGGTCCTTCTCCATGGCATGTCTTCTTAGTGAATGAATCAGTAAAATCCTCATCACACATCTGAAACTCAATCTAAAGCTACCTTTAAACACGTTTGTAACTTCCCATACATTCATATGACATTTCAGTTTGCATTTTTTTAAAAAAAATAAATATTCCTTGCAGTCCACATAAGACCAATATATGACAAGTCAAGAGTGGAACTGAGGAAGCCTGTAAATTCGATGGTCATCAGTGTTATTAATACAGTGCTTACATGACACTAAATTCGTTGGTCATCGGTGTTATTAATACAGTGCTTACATGACATGAGGGATAAAAGTTGAATGCTGAACAGATGATCGAAACAGTTGATGCTATGTACATATTTAGTGCAGAGGACCTGCACATTGGGTTTTATGGTGGCTCGTTTTCTCTTCGTGTACATATATATGTCCACCACTGACATGGATAACATAAACTCTGTGACGTACATGCTACCGTTTAATTTTTATAATTTCTCCAAATTCTGTCAACTTGGCACTCCATAGATGTTAGTGGCTGTTGTGGACTGTTTCTCAGGCTCCAGTACCATTCTACATTAGAATAAAGATTGTCCATTCTGATAGTCTTGACTTTATTTTCTTAAACTTTCAGTAAAGTCAACTCATCATAAGAGACCAGTTATTTTGCCCTCCTCCCAGAATATACAGTCTCTCTGTCCCATTTTGAATGCTTTCATAAATTCAAGCTTGCGTATATTTACGTATCTGTCGTTCTGTAATCGCAGGCTCTAATACAGTGTGCTATAATAATTCCTTTCCACTTGCAGTGTCTTGACCTGGGGTACAAAGAGTCATGCCTGTTACACCATGTGTACAGTAAATAGATTCACACCACACAAATATTGTCATTCATCTTGCCATCTTCACGCACGTCTGTTTCATCTAAATGTTTGCTGCCGTGCTTCAGCAGTTTTTTCTGTTTTTATTTTCTTTTTTGCATCCATCGTGAAGTGTTTGGTTACCATACGTGTGTAATCGAGAAGTCACAAGAATTTCTAATACACAAATCTTAATACAGTAAAACCTCTCTAAGTTGGACACTTGGGGTTCCACGAAAATGTGTCCAAGATAGAGGGAAAGAAAAAAATCAGATTGTGGTCTAATGACAAAATAATCTATTTACGTACGTACACTAACTACTGTAGGCTTACTTGAATTAAGAATTAATGACAGCAGTATTAATAATAATCTTTTGAAGCCCACTCCCATGCATTGCACATTACACCCCAGCCTCAATAACATTTTCTAAAGTTAATTCCACCAATTTTCGCTTCCCCATCGCAAAAAGAAAACTTCCATTTCTGTTAACACAGCCTGAACTCAAATGCAAGCGCAGTACTGACGGAGTTAAAACTGTGTCTTCTGCAATACTGTAGTCCAGTTCAGGGTTCAGCAAAAGAATAGTTAAACACTTGCAGTGCATTCCAATGATGGGTTCAATGTTCATAAGATAATCCTCCAAAGATGAGGCATTCATGAGTCAAAATAACAAAATTTGTAACTGAAAAAGTTTCCCTGAAAAGCATCGAAGTTAAGTGCATGAACCTGTCCAACTTACAACAAAAGGCGTGTTCAAGTTCAAGGATAAAGGCGCGTCCAAGATATAGGATATTGTGGACATATAAAATTATAGGATATTTGCCGGTTCCAATTAAAAGTGTCCAATATAAAGGGGTGTCCAACTTGAGGGGTTTTACTGTATTATATTCATGTAATACACTATTTCATTTACTTGATGTTTATAATTGACACAAGTGTTTGACCTTTGAATTAGATGGCGTTGCTGCACACACCAACGAATGTGGATTTTGTTGCTATAAAATAAGATGTCACAACAGGAAAAGTTTATTTGTTCTTTGACGTGTACTAAAGTTTAATTTTGGAGTACACTGAATGCAGATTTTGCTTATGTAGGCCATAACCTCTTCCTTCTAAAATGTTTATTCTCAGTCGCCCTGCAATAAACTTGTGTGCCTCACAGGACATCAGAAGATTCATATGAAATGGCAATTCACTTGTGTTCATTTATTTGGTATCAACCCCACTGGTGAGTTTCAGTGTTCGTGTTATTCTTCCATATTCATATTTTGAGTGTGATTTGTTAAATATGATTTAATGCACTTGGCAATGTAATATAATTGGTGGTATAAATATCATGATTGTGTTACTGGCTGTTGTACTACAATGTGCTCAGTTGTATTCATATTAATGAGTGTGCAGACGCATGTATTTGTTGGGAGTTGTTGCGATATCTCTGACAGTCGTGAAATGTTCTTGCTTTTGTAAAGAGATGCGGTAAGCATAGATTAATTGTACATTTTGGAAATGTGCAAGCATGAAGGTAATTTGTGTAGCAGATTCTCCCAGCATTAAAATTAATTGGAATACATCTGTGTGCTCCGTGGCTTAGAAGTGCTGGAACAAGAATTTGTGAGTGGGGTCTTACATGACATTTTGAACCCATTCCATAAAGATTATATTTTCATAATTCCACTACCTGTACGTTGATCTGTTTGTATGAAAAGAACTTGTGACCTACTTTCTTTCAGTCTCTTAAGTTATATGTGTCATTATTTCAGTGTCTGTTAAAGTATTGATGTTAAAATTAACTCTGAACATCAGATCAGGACAATTTTTTAATTTAAATGGGCCAGTCAGACGTTGAGAAGGATTTTTCCCATTTAATATGCCAATGAAAAGTGAAAAATGTCCTGTAACTAAAGTTTTAAGGATAAGAGTGAAGATGTAATTTCGTATGTGCTAGAAGGAAGGGAAACTGTGATAAGGAAGGCCTAGCACGCGTGAGTAAATGGTACATGCACTTTCAGAGATGAAGGTGAAGATGGTGAGAAGAAGAGGGATTGGAAGGATGAGAAGAAGTCTGAAGAATTGTCAGGTGCTGATAAAGACGAAAATGAGGATGACAAGGAAGAGGATGAGAAAGACAAGGTAGGCAACAGTCATAGCACATTTCCCTAGGTATTTTTGTCAAACTAGGTGCACGCTCGAAAGCAAATACACGAAAAGAAACAAGATTTAGTTTTTCCACTGAAGCAGTTTTCAATGCACCAAAGATGATTTATAATCATGGAAATATTCTGCACACAGTGGATAAGTATAAGTCATGACTTCTAGTATGAATTTCACAGTCGAACATGCCACAACAGTAGTTCCTTCAGCCCCCCCCGCTCCCAAAAAAAGAGAGATTAAGGCTAGACTTGTTACTGAACAGGTGGCATTCCTTTTATTTGATGTAATGGAAGTGCGTTAACTCTTCAAAGCAAGGGTGGAACTGTATATACCACCTGCCGTAACAGTCAGTAATGCTGCATTTGGTCATGGAGTGTATGTGTTTTTATGACTCACTGAATAAAAACAGCAATTGAATGGATAAGCATGTTTGAAATCACATTTATCTTATTTCAGGGTGTGGAGAAAGTGCCAGCCTCTCGATACAGTGGCATTCCTCCATCACTGTTTTACTGTCACGTCTGCAAGAAGCACATGTGGGACGAAAATGTACGTATCGTCAACTTCGTGTGTTCTATACCTTCCTTCTCATATTAAGATTTCTTATTGACTGTTTGCATTTATTACAGTCATTCCAGAACCATTTGAAAGGAAGAACACACCAATTGATGATGGATAAATTGGAAGAGAGTTACAAGATAAGGGTGGAGCTCATGAGACACGAGCAAAAGGTATGGTGCTTTATGCTATTGTACACCATTTGAAGACAGGTTAAGGTTTATGGATTTATCATGACCTGCACACATTATTGTTAATATTATTGGAGGCACATTTTGCAGTGCGTAGGGCTTTGAATGTTCGGAGTAACTGGAATCCAGGGCTTCGGCACAAGCTGAGGGGCTCCCTGATGCCTACGAGGACAATATTTTAGCATGTAAAAAGTGCTGGTACAGTAGTTTGGGTCACTGACAATGGTGAGATCATTCAGATGGCAGTAATAGCAGCATTGAAAAATACCATTAATCGTAAGATACTATTATGTTGTTTTCATTAATTTTCTGTTCTGCCGCAGTTTTATCAGCTTGTGTAGATTTCTAGAATTTTCATGAAAAAAATTTGTTCTTAAAAAATCTATAGAAATTGGAATACACATCTCGTTGTGGTGTGCATGATATGTGGTAGTATTCTTGGAGTATGTGACAGTTTAGGAATATAGTTTGGGGAGCAGATGACAAGTGTTCTTGAAATTTCTCTCTCCAGAATAGTATAAACTTGGCTGGGATGAAATGTTGTAGGTGGCAGAGCAGCAACGAGAAATTGAGATGGAACGAATGAAACGCCAGGGCAAAAAAGTGAACATGAACATCCGGGAATACTGCACCATGTGTGACTTGCACTTCTTTGGCAACCTTATTGTGCATCGCAAAAATGATCGTCATCAGGTATTGTTGTCTGTACAATTGCATTGTGACCTTATCAGCAGCTATTAATTATTGTGTTGAAACTTTGTTGGAGGTGTTCTTGACATTAGTTGCTATTTTTTATGGTCAAAGCATTTATGAAATGGTCTTTTGTGTTTATTTTGTAAAATTGCTTTTGAAAATACTAGACTTGCCAAATTTGTTCCAGGAGAAAGCGTAGTAGTGTTGCGAGGTTGCCTTTCTGTGAGTGACATTACCACCACTCAGTACAGAGCATTGAAATGTTTCGTAGCAGATGTTTGAAAATTAGAAACTACAGATGAGGACTAGTATATAGTCTTGTCTTCCTCTAAACAACAAAAGTGTCATTTTTTGTATGGTGTAAAACATTGCCACCTGCTGGGAAGACCATTAGATGTAGGTGCTAAGTGATGTGAACGTTGCATGCATTTTTATAGCAACTGAAGAACTTCCTTCATCCCCGGTGTTTGCCCTGTGGAAAGGAATTCCCAACTCGTGTTGAATGGGATCATCACAAACTCACGCCCCTGCATCTGAAGGTATGTATTCTGCCTTGTTCAACTGTTCTGTTAGAACATCGGCACAGTATCGGCATCGGCATCACCGATTTGCTTCCGTTATTGGATGTTGACATGTAATCGCCACAGTTTTTCTTCGGTCATGTATCATAGTGATGCTGTTATATGAGATGTGTGCCAGTTGGCAGAAAGATAAAACTGGCTTTAATTGCAGATTTTAAGTTTGATTTGTTTGGTGTGTGTGTAACCATTACAGTTAAGTTAACCATAAATATGTTAACAGACTAATGTGCCATATATTTTTCATTCATGATGAGTAATGCAAGAAGTCATGTGGTTTATGTGATTGGGTGTTTGCTCTTATCAAAGTAAATATTCAATTTTGACTTTGCGTGCTCGTATAGTTTTGTTTCTGAAAGAGGCATATTATTGTTCTTAAAAATGTGAAGCTGTTACTAAATAAATGTATTGTCCTGTGACACAACTGTTCTTTATAAGTTGTGTGTTGAATTAGATAGAACTCACTGTTAATAATTCATTGACGCTCGAGCCATTGTTCTGTTTGCAGAAAACTGCAGAAGCTCGTAAAAATCGGAAGTCTGGTTCAGATGACGAGTTTGGAATTGAAGAACTGATTTCAGGAGGAGGTGGCTTTGGTACGTTCTCTTACGATGAGTGAAAAGTTTTGACTCAATAATAAAAGAGTAATTCAAAAGAAGTTGAACACTTCAAAGTATGTAACATGTTTATTTTACTGTTCAACAATAAACTCTGTGGAGTGCCTTATACATCTTTTACAAATCACCTTAGAAAAAAGTCCAAAGGTATGAAATGCAGAAGACGGTGATCAACCAATCGGTTGTACTCTCCAAATCCACCTATGCAGGTAGTATTCGTTCAAGCAATCTTACAAATTACCTGAAATGAGGGGCACTCTGCCTTCCTGAATAGTCTGTTATGTTTGGGGTATACATTACAGTGTTTTTGTTGAAAGAGAACAGACCATAAAGTTTGCTTTTCATGAGTGTGTTGACTTGAGATTTACAAATGTCTCTGTTGTGTGTGGGATCTCAGAACACTGAAACCTTGTATCGTGCATATTAACTTCTTCTACACTCATCACTGGAAGTGATATGTTGTAAGCCTGAAGAAATAGGTACAAGGCACTGTGTTCAATTTGGTGTCAATCAGTAAAATAAGTTACAAAGGTTTTCAACTACTTCTGAATTAGCTTGTACAAGATGAAGTAGTGATAGTAAGAATGTACAGAATATATTTGTGGCTCGAAGTCCGTCTTTCTGGTTTGATGTAGAAAAAATGTAAGAAAAGTGTTGTTAAATGTGGCTTTATTAAAATGTGTTGATGTTTACAAGTATGGCACAGGCTTGTGTCAGTGGGCATACGTAGTGATATGGAGCTACAGTCTGCAGAAATTTAATTCAGTTTTACCAGAATGTGCTTTTCTTACAGGAGATGACTTTTCCAAGAGAGAGATTAAAGTAAGGACACGAGAAGAGGAAGAGGATGAAATAAAAGAAGCTGATAAAGTTAATGAGACTGTTTTGGGAAAAGAAAAGAGTGGTGGTCCAGAAAAAGATGAAGGGGTAAATAAGGATGCTGAAGGGAAGGACGAAGGAGAGGCAACAGTAATAGGCAATCTGCGTTTACGGGTGCCCAAGTACAATCCTGAAGTAGCAGTCGGTGAGTTGCATTGCTATGTGGCATGGTCGTCTGCCAGGGGACGCTCGGCAGGCAGAGCTGGTGCACGCACCATGTTGCAGACCTCCATTTCTGTGTGCTCAATGTGCCTGCTATTTGTAGTTGTCTGTTCATTGCCAGAAACGATGCTATTTTCAGGGGTTTAACATTATACAGGTTGATGTTCCTTCATCGCCATTCTTGCTTTGCCGCAAACTTCTTGACAAGTCTGTTGGTCATATTTTGTTTGGGAAATGCACATTTTTATGAGAAATGTTGCTGTATGCATTGCCCACATGTTGAGGGAATCTGTTGGAAGTGAACATTTCTTGATAATGTAATGTTTTTGTGAACATAGCTGCAATGAATAACTTTTTTTAAATTGAAAAGCTAATAGTTTTGCAGGTTGTTTCACCTTTTATGAACTAGGGAGATTCCTTACCGTGTTTGCAAACATCAGACACTTTCACTGCCATTTTTCCATGTCCATACTTCTACTTTTTGTAAGATTGATTCCATAAAATTAACCATTCTTAAATTAACTAAATTCTCATCACAATTTTGAGAAAAACTCCTTTCAGTTTTCTCCTAGTGTGGTGGTTTAGGGTGATACATATCTCTCTTGCCAAGGGTCTCTCAGAATTTGAGATAGCAAGCCAAGTTCAGGTGGAATTCTGTTTGCATCTGACACTGTAGTCATCTTAATGACATGTTCACAGGATTAAGTCTTTTGAAGAAGATGACTGGTCAGACATGTCGGGCTTGTCACAGATTCTTCATTAATGTGGAAGATGCTAAAACACATTGCCGCACATTAATGCACTACAACAATTTTGTAGAATTGATTAAAGAAAAGGTAAGTGGAGGAAGATGAGTAAGAAATTCCTTTCTACCCAATAGAAACAGTATAATGAACTCAAAAAGAGCCCTCAGTATTTGTAGGTAAGTTTATAATTTAGTATTTAAGTTTCTGCAGTGAGTGAGAATAATTTGAGGCATCAAATTATGGTTATGAAACTTAAAGGCATGTTTGTAACGTTTTTGTACATTATTGTAGAATAATCTGTGGTAGATAAAACTGCATAATTTTGTAAATTACATCCTTCAGTTGTGGAGTCATTTGAGAAACAAATTATATGATGAAGCAGACAGCATAAATCTACCATAATGACTAGACACTTTGTTTGGTTTAAGAGTGTTGGCCTGGACAGTGGTGTCTGAGGAAATTGGAACCATAAAGAGAGGGGAACCTCTGTTTGTAGAATATGCAGCTTCCCTTCCCAACACGTGTATTGTAGGTAGCCTTGATATGTCCACAGGCAAAAGCTGCCGAGGCCAAGGAAAGACGGGAGGCGAAGGCCGAGGCCAAGAAGAGGGAAGGAAGTCTAGAAAGTACAGAGAAGGTGAGGAGTTTAAGGACAAGTTAGGAAAAGTATGCATAGTATATGACAGTTCTGGCGTGTTTGTCAGAAATTTGTGATTTTGTGAATAGTACCATAATACATCTCTATGGATGTAGGATTAATTAAGCATACAATTCTTGAGTGTGTTTGCTCATTTCTAGTAATGAAGTTGACAGTAATAATTAAAAATCAGTATGCATATAAATCTGTTGAATTTTATAGGCTGCAAAACGTACAGAAGACATGAACACAGTGGATGATGAAGGAAACTGGAAGCGTCGCAAAGTGGCAAATGCCGAAGAAGACGAAGATGCAGATGCAGATGCACTTGTGTCCACGCCAACCGATGGTGGTAAAGTAAGTGAGACAGCAGCAACCACGAATCCAGTTGTGAAAGAAGATATTTCAGAGGCTGTGCCAACAAATGGGAGTCAGAAATATGACCCGCTGGAGGCAGATGCGGAGGAGTCCAACCCTGAGGATGAGAACAAAGGCACTCAGTCTCAAACACCAGTGAAGGAGGAGGAAGAGGAGGAGGAGGATAAAGTAAAGAATAAAAAAGAAAATAGCATTGTTGGAGATGATAATCTGTGGGCAGAGGTGGATCGTGACCTTGGAAGTATTCTAGACACTGTTGATGGTGAAGCAGAGACCGAGAGTCTGAATGATATGACGGAAGATGAGTTACTAAATATAAAGCAGGAATCGGACTCGCCTGCAAAGGTAAGCCGCAACAGCACTCGGAACAAGGCGACCAGAGGGTCCCTGACTCCCAAGACCCGTGGAAGAAAGAAGAAGTAATTCGAGCATTTCTTTTACTTATTGACAGGTATGAATAGAAAGAAGAGTTATGTTTTGTCCTCTTACAGTAGAATGTAAGTTATAATAAGGCATTGAAGTTTTCCTTCTGATATTGTATGTTGCTAATGCATTTGATTGCATAACTCTGTGTATGTCATAACATTAGTATGCGACAGCTACAGTATATCATAGTTTGTAGGAAGTCTGATTTGGAATTTCATATTGCATCACTGTGTCCTGAACTGCATCATACCCTTGTATACAAAACAGAAGAATGAGAAACATTTCGATACTGGTATTTTGAGAGTTGTTAAGATTAAGATAATTGAAGTCATACAGACTGGAGACATTTAAGAAATTAAAACTTCTGAAAAGTGTTCATTTGTGAACTGTTGTATCATTGTTTTAGTGTTTCAATTTATAAAGTAAGCCTCCCACATTGCACACATCCAGCAACATCGTTTCATTGGGTACAAAGTGATACCAGCTAGCAGGTGCATGTGCTGCTCTGCGTCTCTATGCAGTTGGTACAATTTTTTGAATAGATTTAAAACAAATATTAATTCCCAGAAAAATACTGGATAAACACCAGGAATAAACACATGCAATTACAACTGACAAACAGTCGGAAGTTGTTTTCATTTCGGTCAAGGCTTTACTCGGCCATTAAAGATGATGTGGAACACTGTGTTCCAAAATCATTCATAGTACGCTCACTGTGGCATTTAATTTAATGTGGTCTTTCTGAAGATTGAACATTGCCCAAACAATGACCTGGGATCACTAAAATCTAACCTTATAACTGAGAAACAGTAAATAGGGCTCAACTGTTGTTACTCCTTCACAGAGTATCCCACAACGCTCACTGGGTCTTACTTGTGGTAAAATTATGTGGCACTGTTAGCCGCTGTCATGGAGTACTCTACATGTATAAAATGTTGGAAATTTTCAGTCTTATTGTTGGATGTTCCAATATGGCCACATGTAATAAGATTTGAACTAGAACTTCATTTGCTCATAGACCCTTGGTGATACACATGATTCAGTGTAACTGCATTCATAATCATGCTTATTTCATAAAATTTATTTCAACACTTTTATCAATTCTCCCCTTGACATTTTGATCACTGATTTAGTTGGTTTTTTTGCTGCGCATTTTGAGTTTTAGAATGCACAGCAAAAAACGGTTACATACTTGTGTGATTTGTTCAAGTAATTGTAATGAAATAAACTTGCATTGATTTGCAAAATTAATTTTTAAATTTTATGAAGCACTGTTAAGTTGTGATTTCCTCTTTAATTCCACCATTTCAGTGCATGCCTTTGTCTTTAGCTGGGAAGTATAGTAAACCCTTCTCCGTGATACGGGTTACATTCTTGAGAATGGCATGTTACATAAATGCACACTGGAAAACCTGGTACCTTATATGAACATGGCAACATACTCTTCATTAATACCTAAGATACATTTTTACACACAAATGAATGGCCTAATTAAGAAAGTTATAAAATTATACCAAATGTTCAATTGTACATTATGTACCTACAAATGAAGACATGTTAGAAAATAGTACCAGAATATGCGGGTGATATTGAGACATAGAGACAGTGAGAAGGTGTACGTGCTTGGCAATGGGAGAAAGTTCAAGTGTTCACATTGGCAGTATGTACAGTTTGGCCAAATTCAGACATTCAAATTGTTTACATTTAGCATATAATTGCTTTTGTTTTTGCATGTGTAAGCAAATCTGCATTGGACAAACACGTTAGATAAGGATTTACTGTATCCTGTTCTGTGTACTTACTACGTTACTGATATAAAACATTTCTTATAAGGTACACAGTCTACCACTTTCCAAAGTTGGTTTTGAATTATCATTAGGCATTTGATTAATTGGAATTAAAAGAGCAGCATATAAAGTCATTTGCATGTTTTGCCTGTTTTTATATTATCCAATGATGTGTCAGTAAGTGACGTAAGTAAGGACAATACGTTTATTTCACACAAGTATGTATGGTTAGAAAATATAAAATTAAGGAATCAGAATTATACCCTGGTATGTTAAAAATATTGTTGAAGTTTTCGGGGCTGTCAAAGCAACTGATCACACTTCAGAACATTACTAGCAAGCTCTGTGTCTCTCCTAATTCAGCTATCAAGTGACCATGTGCGTAGTCTGGGAAGTTAACAGTCACTCAGCTAGTCATTCACTGCTTTTATGGAACTCTGCTGACAAGCGCTTATCACCAGATATTTTTCTGAGCCAGACACAGCAGTGTTTCATCTTATGACTCATTGTTCAACATGTATTGGCATGTAACGCCTTGTGAATTATTTTACTACCTCCTTTACTGGTAATTGTGATCTCTACTGTTGCAAATTAACAGTGGTCTGATAGTGTGCCATGTTCAAGAAATTACCACACACGAGGTCAGTTTCATAAGTTAACATTTATTGCTACTTACAGAAGGTTGCTGTAGGTTAGACAGATCTGTGTAAGAAATGGGATCAGGTCTTAAAGTTCTTGCTCAAATGGCATTACCACGTATACTGTTCTTGTATAATCCTGCTAATACCTTGGCTGCTACCAGCAACATCTCTCTTCTGGAAACCCCAGTCAGGGCTTGATGCCATTCTGAATGATGAACCTGGAACCAAGGTTGCAATTATGTTACCAGATGTTTCATTTCTTGCACCAGTCCTCCAACATTCTGCTATTAATTTAATTACCAACTAGCCATCTTGTACTAGAGCTTAAAAGAAACATCTCCAACTCTGTCATGGTCAAGAGATTCTCCTACCAAAAACTCTGCACATATTTCCTACGTCCCTCATCTGAGATGTATGTTCAGGTGAATGTAACTATCCAAACAACACTCTGGGAATTGGAAATGCTTCAGTACATAGTTTCATCTCGTCCCTAATTACACAAATCTTTGGGTACAAATACCTTCCAACTGTATGCATGAGTGAAGAATTAACTGCTTTATTCTGTATGTTATGAAACAGAAATGTGAACTCCTCTGTTAGATTCTAACAGTCATATGGCTAGTCTGTCCTTTGCGGTTACAATGCTCCCTAACTCCCAATACGTCGCCATCCTCTCATGTCCTTTGGCATTGTCACTCACCTCCAAGTTCTGAGCCATTAGACTGCCAATGGTAACTGCCAGACCTGAGCACAGAAGGGGATAATCGCTGGGAGTGTCGTCCTGAGCCAGAGCAACCATTGCGGCGGGCACTGGGGTGAGCTGGGTAAATGTTTGCAGGTTTATCTCTTGGCCAGGGTCTTTGAGCATTAAAACTCCAATATCAAACCACCTACAAAAAATTAGACTTGAGGCCAGGTAGGCAACATACAAAGATAGTATTTTGCCTCACTGTAATATTGTTATAGGTATTTGTGCCCCTTGAGTCTTCATAAAGAGTTGACATGGATAGACATTCGTAGGAAATTAATTTTTATATCTTTAATTGGTTTATAAGAAGAATAAAATGATCATTCCCAAACGAACAGACACAGTACAGTATAACATTTGTAACACCTCATTCTTGAAATAGTTGCCATAGGATATCTTACCCACATGGCTAAATTAGCAGTACAGTATAACATTTGTAGCACCTCATTCTTGAAATAGTTGCCACAGGATATCTTACCCACATGGCTAAATTATTTTCATTACAATTATTTTTCTTACTGATTGAAATTCATGGTCCATACAGGTTTTATGAAATCATAATTTACCTTGCATGTTTCGCACAAAACACTCACTTGTTCTCTCCAACTTCAACAAGGAAATTTTCTACAGCAACAATTGGTTGTTTTGGGTGAAGTCTCCCAGTACACTGCAGTGTTGATATCCTCTCTTCTGCTGAAAAAACAAATCCTACAGGTTGGGCTGCAGTCATTGCAGTCTGAACAGCCACACCTCTGTCAGACAACCACCACATGTTTGTATCCATGCATCACAGCTTTCTCAGTCACTCGCGTAAACAAAACAAGCTCAACTTACGAAACTGTTGCTTTACCAAACACGGCTTGGAAAGCTTCACGAACAGCACTAAGCTTGACCTCCTTGTCTGAAGCAACTACGATATCCACATCACCTCCAGAATCTTAAAAATGCAAAACATAAAAAAATGTTAATATCGGAGACAAAGAGACTGATCAATTCTCTTAATTTTAAATGGAAAGTTTTAATGACCGAACTTGTTTAGAAATGTCTTGGCTTCCCTTTTCTATGGTGCCTCAAAATGTAACTTCATGTTGCACGTTTTCATAACTTACTGCATTCATTTTCATTTTCATTATAATTTTACAGATTACTAAGTGTAAAGCACGTCTAATTTTTGAGAACTGAAATATTTGTATCAATATCGAAGTTCTCAGTCAGGTATGTATGTCTGTCTTGTAAGTTAACAAATATTTCATGCCTAAATGAAGTAACAGGTTTAGTTTAGTTTTTGTGTTGCGTAGAGTAAGCATAAATGAAAACAAATGTCATATCACAGATGGCCACGTAAAGCTAAGGGAATTTGTGTATAAGCTGTAACATCATTACTGTAGAACTTGCTGATTCGTAACAATTTTAAAAATCCCACAAAACTTTATGTGAATTAGTGCATCATCAGCGTGCATCAATGATGAAACAACATTCAAGAATCCCATTCACAGAAAACTTTACAAGTGGATATTTAAACTGGCCCTTACATAAAAATTCTCTCATCTGAGGATCCAGGGTTGTTATCATGGAGTCTACTGAACTTTTGGCTTTTTCTGCTACTTTTAAAAGAAGTCCTCCACTTCCAACTGCACCTTTCACCCATCCCAGCAATCCAGCCGATGCTGCAGCTGTCTCAACAGGTGGTACTGAAGTAGTAATGTCACCCTTGCTAGCAGGGATCACTGGACTAGAAGAAAAATAAGGAAGATCACAAGATTGTACAATACAGGAAGTTGTCATTTATGCACAGACCAGGGCATGCATCATATACAAATGTTCAAACTACCAATTTGAAAGCAGCACACAGCCTCAGAAATTGCACTTCACATATAATGGCTAGTAGTGGCAAGTTCCCTAAACAATGAATTTACTGATTTCTCCATATTATAAATATTTTGTGGAGGTGACTGGAACTTGATTCACAATTTATGACTGTGAAAGAAGGGGCGGGGAAGACAACCTCAAAGATCCACGCATCCATGACTTTTAGATATTTCTAAGCCTCCAAAAGATTTGCTTTATTTGTAGTCCTTTATGCATTTTTCCCACAGTTCTGAAAACCCAATTTTTTACCTGAAAGTAGTTGGATGGAAGGCATGAGATGGTGCAGGCAAAGGCTGATGTGTGATGCTGGTGGCAACAGATCCTGTTGGAGATGACACAAAACAAATGGTGGGGCTACACTAGACAATAAGTCTCCCCCACTTGCTGCACTTTTATGTGGTGGTAATGTTGAACTGCTCAGAGACTCTAGTGACATTAAAATTAATTGACAGTTTGGCAAATTTAAGTTTTATACCAACTAACACAAAGTGTATATTACACAGTTTTTTTATTCAAACATGTCATTTGCAGGTTTCAAGTTTCCATTCAAATTTGATGAGACTGTCAGGTTCTATTTTTCTTGTGAAAATATGGACAGAAATTCAGTCTTATACTTGTTATATATATGTTGCCAACTAGGGTAGTTGAATATACAAACATTTATCATGTTATTTTCTTAGCCCATCTACTTTTATAAATACTGTAAATCTTTGTTATTTCTTTTAGTACACCAAAAGGCAGAGTGTATTAACTACACTCTTCACTCACACCTTATTACAGTGTGGATGTAGAGAAAGTCTCTCAGCAGATAAGTGCTCCAATTAATAAACTGCACTACTTTATGATATGACACAACTTCAGAATGTGTAGAAATAAATATCAGAATAATGCCCCAATATTAGTTGAAGTATTCAGCTGCATGATACTGGGGATTTTGTGGTTAAACCATAAATCACATTATTTAATGGATCAGTATCCTTTAAAAGCTAAACCACTCACCTACACAGTTAATTCTCCATGATTTATTGAACCAAAATAATTAATTACTGTTGACAAGAGCCTGCCACAGGCCCCTGAGACATGAATCCGGTTCATACCTTCCAATCCTATCAACACTTGTCTTACAAGTGGTCTCTACGTATTTCTGGCCCAAATTCTGCATGCATTCCTAATCTCCCATATGTAATATATGCCCAATATATCCTGATCAGATCACACTAATAACTGTGTGATGATGCCAGGCAATCTTGTAACTATCACCTCAATTCACACCCTATGTCTGGTGACCATACAAATTTTGAAACATCTCATTAACAATCAATTAATTGCATTACGTACGTTCAATCAAAGCATATATGAAGTCAAAAGAATTGTATTGATATTTTCTAATTCATCTGACATTCACAATTATTATACCAAACTAAAAGATCAGAAACAAATTACTACGGACCTTCTTTTGACACGGTTTCATTTGAAACAGACATATCATCCATTTTTTTTTCAACAAATTCAAATGTTGATTCTCCATTTGAGTCTTCTTGCATCATTTTTACAAAACACTGTCAATTTACTTTCACAAACATCAGTTCACTTACATCTGCAAAGACAATAACCATCACTACCAGCCACAGATTACCCACGCATCCAACATATCAGTAAGCTACAACGGTATACAAAGGAAGGAAATACGGATATACTCTAGGCGACAAAAAAAGGCAAACAAGTTTCCATTCCAGAAGAAATAATGAGGGCAAATATGCATTTTCTTTGCACTCTTTGATGTGGTTTTGGCCACATAATAAGTGTCGTCCATTCACCTTTTTGCTTTTCCGTATAATTTTTATTTTAATCATAGAAGAATGCTATCTTCAAGGGATATTGCACAATGTAATCTGATAGAAATTGACCAACTTTTTATTCTTGCTTATTTACTCCTTCGTCAAGATGATGACGAAATAAGGGTATATGAAACATCGGTCACTTACTTCCGGGCTACATGGCGTAGTATCCCTGAAAACTATCATCTAATACCACCGTTGGAATTTTAACAAAAAAATTAAAATCAACTAATAAAATATCATTTGCGTAATACAACGCAACACAAGAACTTTCATTGTGATATTACTGTAATGAATTGAAATCTCGTGCTTTGTTAAAGTAAATGGTTACAAAAATTACAGTGACAGTTTTCGTTAGGGACATGGTACCCCTTGATGTACCTTGCTGTGGAAACCGTGAACTGTATTCTCAAGTCTGGAGAATGGCGGAAAACCATTTACGTGTACATGTGGTCATGGCAACTATGTCCTGCTCTCCTATTATTTAGATACCGTAACTTGTACATACATACATTTTATTACATTCCATGTATCCATAAGATAGTCAGATGACAACAGGATGTGGAAAAAGTCATAATAATAATACAATACGTATTATAAAGTACAATTCATACTATTATATAAATTTCACATAATACAAACAAAGGGTTCACCTAAAGTAATGATAAGTCATAAATAAATCTACCCATTACACATAAGATAATTTATCACTTATTTGTAAACAACATAAATTCATTGACAGAGCAAAAGAGTGCGTAATTAAGTATCTTATTAATGCTACATTAAATTGCTTCTTTTTATTCACAAGACTTGTGAGACTTGATGGTAGACAGTTGAAAATTTTGATCCCTGCATAATATGCATAATTAGCTACTTTCCATCGTTCACATGTAATTTAATATACATGACAGTCCATGTTACTAACGTGAACGGCAAGGTTTCATTCGAGAGTTCACTCTTACTGCCCCAAACGTTAAGAGTGCACTGTTTATCTTGGTGTAAAATAAATATCGTAACCGTGGGACGTACGTAGTTGTTTCTGCTGTTTAAAGTCACCTTTATTCTGTGGCCATATGTCTTTGGTAACAACCTAGAGAAGGTTTTGGCGACTTTTCAATCCGTGGTGGACCCAGTACGATAATGGCTGACAGCAGGGATCCGCCCCCTCTTTTCAATAACGTGGATATTGACCAGCGCGACTACGACAATGAAGATCTGTTCACTTCTGCAGTCGAGGTGCGATTTAATTTAATTATTTATAACTGCATGTATTTTTCCATTCCAGCATCCATAGTAAATTCACAAGTGTTATAAATTTGTGGTGTGATGTGAGAATACAAATGAGTTTACATTTGCCGACAACAGCAAATTAAATGAAAAATATAATTATATTAAGTGAAAACGAACTCGTACGGTTATGAAGAAATATCGCCAGAATTGCCTCAAATTTGCTCAGCCTATATTTATGTTACTAAGTTACTTGTGCGATCATTTATAAACGGAACTTCACATAATTACTAAAATATTCACAAGGCAAAAGTTAAACGACCATAAGAAAGGTGAAACTCCTGCATATCCAGCTGCAGGTCAGTTTCATTACTGGTGTCGTTTTCAAAAATGCTTGAGTAAGTTATGTATGAGAGGGTAATTGATTTCTTTAATTTTAACAATACTCATACATGTGATGAACATGACATACATTGATCCATCAATCACATACAATGGGCAGGGCAATATGTGACTTACTGAGGTTGACAGGAGATCATTTTTTTTAAGACGTGTTCAACTTAGATAATATTGACATTCTTCAGAGCTCTTATTTAAGTTACAGAGTCTAATATCTATGATATACTTTCAGGATATAGGTGTTCATGAAGATGGGGCTTCAGAAACCCCAAAACTTCAGCTCTCACAGGTATGAAATTTGTGTTTATGCAGTAATTTATCAGTAAGAAAGATGCAGTCTGTGATTCTTCATGTAGTTACAGGATTAAAATTAATGAAACTTGGCAGATTATATCATTCTGCAATTGGAAGGAGTAGTTTTGAAACTATGTCAGACTATATTTTTGCATTTTCCACCTAAGAGTAGTTCTTGTTAATTTATGAGTTCTGCATCATTTAGAACGTTGTATGCCAAAATACATCTCAGTTCAATGTGCATGTGCAAGTTGCCAATTTGATGTATGTTCTAAGGTATCCATCGTGTGTTGCTGCTGCTTCCTTCATTTGTTAACTTAATTTCTTTTCAAGGAAAGAAATGTAGGGTTATAGGATTTCTGTATTGGCTGACCACATGTGTGTTTGTTACAAAGTGTAAATTGAACTCAAAATACTTTAATCCAGTTTTCTTCTGTAATAATGCAGATTGTTGTTGTTCACTGTGAAGCAGAAGTAGTACAGTCGTGAAAGTGTTTCATAAATATTTATCCTACATTGAAACACTGCATGACCTGACTGCAGTACTTAATCACCTTACTCCAAGACAACTTGGAAAAGTCATTCTATTGAATCACAATCTGTATTAAGACAAGATGGTTTAATAATCTGTAAGTTCCTGAATTATTGTTGATGTCTATAAGCATTGCATTGCAGGAAAGTCCAAGCCTAGATAATGTTCAAGTAGTGAAATCACCACCAGCTCTACAAGGCGAGCCTTTAGATGAGGTATGAATCTGTTTTGCTTTTAGTTTATCGAACTGCAACTGAATAGATTTCTTATTGTGTTTTGTGTCTTGTAATAAAACTAAAGATTTGTTTAAATCTGATATAGTAACATTTTCATATTTTAGATATTCAACTAATTTATGTAAACTTATTTAAATAATATTTGACAATATCTGACTGCAGTGAAAACACAGTACTCCACAACAAAGTTCAATTCCTGATTATTATGGGAATTATATAAAACCCATAAATACACTTTGTGACCAAAATGTAATGAGTCATGACTGTGGTTATCACTGGACTTTAAAGGGTTAAGATTTGGGAATGTCTGTATCAAGCATTTCAGTGTAACATATAACATTTGGGGGGGAACTAAATGGTTTAGATGTGGACAGGATAAGTAATTAGTAGTTTCTGTCAGTTCCTACAGGCACTTAAATTATCGTAGGTTCTTAAAAGGTGTCCAGTGTAGACCATATTATTTGTCCATGTTTTGAATTACTTCTGTCATCTATTAAATATGCTTAGTTGCTGTCTGTGCTAGTTTCTATAACCTGAATGCTGACTTCATCTTTAAACAGCTGGAAAAGGAGTGTGGTGACCAGTTTATACAAGTAACTGTAACTGAGCCTCAGAAACTTGGAGAGGGAATGGCGGCATATGTAGCTTACAAAGTTATTACAAGAACAAATATGCCAATCTTCAGGAAACGAAGTTTTAGCGTCATGCGACGTTTCAGTGACTTCTTGGGACTGCATGACAAGTTAGTGGAAAAGTACTTGCGTATGGGGCGCATCATTCCACCAGCTCCAGAAAAGAGTGTGATAGGTAAGTGAAAAAAAATATATATAAAAGAAACCAATTTATTTTTTTCACAAAAGGGTGTGACTAATACAATGTAGTGTGGCTACTCAGTCTGTTGGCTTTTCTCCTACACAAGTTGCACATTCTGATACTTTTTCTTAAGCCTTTGTGTCTTGTCTTCTTTGTCATAAGAACTGAATTTTTCAAATAATGTGTAGTTGAGTTTTGGCTCCAAAGGATTTGAAGTTCTCATGGCAGCAAGAAGGAAGATGGCTGTCTTCTGGGTTGCAGCATTGTGTGGTCTGGCAAAAATTTATCGGTGTTTCAGAGGTATGTGATGTCTCCATTTGCCCTGATGATGGAGGCAGCGGTACCTCTGAAACATTGGTAAACTTCTGAAAGGTCACAGATACTATTTGGACAGGATTTGCTTCTTGAAAACCTGAAACTGAAGTACAGCTTCAGGTCTGACTGTGTTTGTTGCAGGACTCCAGTAACAAGCGACTCAACTGAATTTTGTGTGATTAATGTCGTCTTGAAAGATGCTTCTTACTTTTCATTTTGAGACTCCTGTCTGTTTCCTCAGGCTTCTTGTTATTGTCTTTATTTTTGTATTTATGACATCATTATTACAAACAGTTTTGCTATATTTGTAGCCCGTTTTAAAGACTGATCAATATTAATAGGTATGACAAAGATTAAGATGTCGAACCAGCCTGAACAAGGTTCATCTGCTGAGTTTGTGGAGAAGCGGAGAGCCTCGCTGGAGCGTTATTTGAATCGAACTGCAGCTCATCCCATCCTTGGTATAGATCCTGATTTTAGGGAGTTTCTAGAAGCAGGCAAGTTTGTATTTTAAATGAGTTTTGATTGGTTTTAATTAACAGTTATATATGTGCATTAAAAAACTTGGACATATTATGTCTGGCAAGTGTAAACATATTCAGAAATAATACTGCTGTGCATTGGCTTGAAATGTAGACAAATTCATGCAGTCATAATCTTGATGTATAAAAGTAGGTCATCCTGCAAGTTTGTTATAGTTAACAACGTATGTGACAATTAAACTTTTGGAATTTGGTTGGAAAACCTCAGTGGAACTAATGCTTCGGGAGACACAGGCATAGGCAGATATTATTGAAGCAGACTGTGAACTGCCTCAGAATAGTCTGGTAGCCTTTGTATTGAATGTTGAGGTTTTAGTACAATGGATGAGCCTAATTCTCACAGTTTTGAGAGGAACAGCATTAACATCGGGTGCGATTTTGTGTAGATATGGAACTACCTAAAGCGACCAATACATCAGCTCTCAGTGGTGCTGGAGTGATGCGTTTGTTCAACAAAGTTGGTGAAACTGTAAATAAAATCACATACAAGATGGATGAAAGTGATCCAGTGAGTATCACTATTTATAATTTTATTATCTGTTGTAACTTAGTTGCCACCGGTAACTAATTGTCCTTGTGTTTGCTTTAGGACAACAGAGTGGAAACCAAGTGAAGGAGGTTCACCATTTGACTTGTAGCTATCTGTTTGATGTAACCCATGCTGTGTAATATTCAGGTTGTCCTGATTGCATCATGTCGTGATGATGGTTAGGGATGTGGTGCTAAGGAGCCCTCAGACACAGTTACTGTCCACATTCATGCATTTATTCAAGACACTATTGAACCCAGCTAGCTCAGGATAGAGTTTGGTGGCAGGCTTTTTTGAACACTGTGATGAACCCTCATTCCATAAAGAAAGTGGGCTATTCTGTGACAAGTTGAGTATACAATCAGCTTTTTAAATAATTTCCTACACTATAGAGTGAGTGAGTGGCTATTGAACCTTCTGCAACTCAATCTTTGAAGTTATGCTTCAGACAGATTGCCTGCTATAGAGATTCACCACTTTCATGATGCCCTGCCAGTCAGACATTATCGTTTCACCATTTAATTCATTGTGCTGGAAATTCATGGCAACTTTCTCATTGTAATTTCTGCACAGGTGCATTGTGTTTTTAGATCTTTACTGATTATGGTGTTGCAACTACCATTTGTCATTGCAACTGTCTGTGTCTGTTCTCAGTCCATGATTTTGCGTGGGCTGCCTTCTAACAATTCATAATTATTCTTAAACCTGTGATGTTATTCACCATACACCATTTGGAAAATTTGGATTCTAGTCTAATACCATATTTGATCAAAGAGATTTTACAGAGAATATTTTTTAAACCATTGCTTCAGTCTTCTTTGGATCTGGTAATAAGTTACGTTCACTGCAATGAGTAGTAGTATCCATTCGTGCGAACGTAATCTTCCTCGACCAAAATCTCTTTACTGTGAAAGCTAACATGTTATTTTATTACATCAAAAATCTCTTTCCTTGTGCCTTTCACATGAGGAGCAACAGGTGAGTGGTCATTCTTTATTGTTGAAACTAATGAATTGTGGATTATTATAAACACTAAAAGACTTTGACATATGTATGTACTGTTCTCAGTGGTTTGAAGAGAAAACACAACAGATAGAGAACCTGGACACTCAGTTGCGAAAGTTACACGCAAATGTGGAAACTTTGGTTTTGCATCGCAAGGATCTGGCAGTTCTTACTTCAGCTTTTGCTAAGAGTGCTGCTATGCTGAGTAACTGTGAGGAACACACATCTCTGTCAAGAGCACTGTCTCAGCTAGCAGAAGTAGAAGAGAAGGTATTGTTGAGATATCACACTGGTCCAATGCTTACATGGATCTGTTTGTAGTTTTTGGCACAGTGTAGTAGCAGGCTGTATTGATAATGTTTCAGCAATACGCAAGTCTGTCTCACTTTTCATTGACTGTCACTTGAAATCAAACAGAACAATTCACAGCAGGCTGCAGTCCTGTACTGTAAATATCAGCAGCCACTTCACTCTGAAGACAGAGACAAGGTCTTCAAAATCTGTACCCTACTTGTATGCGGTTCCATTACCTAGAAATAGAGTTTTCTTAAATGTGTAATATATGCTAAGTTCTGTGTGTCTGTAACTGCTAAATGATTGGGTCTTGTGATTTGTACATCCTATAATATTTGCTCTGTTACAGTGTTTAGACAAAATCTTTAAATACATTTGGAGTTATAGTTCAGTCATCCAGAAAGTACCTGTTTTTAGATGGTGTAACCCTTCCTACTTTTTTGCTTTTTTGTGTTCATAGAAGTTCGTATGGTAAGGCAAAATGATGGTATAAAAAATTAAAATCTCATAAAACTGTGATGGCAGGTATTTCTACCTCACCCCATAGTAACAATAATTTACATTTGCAGGTGGAAGCACTTCATAATGAACAAGCCAATGCTGATTTTTCTGTTCTGTGTGAACTTCTAAAGGACTATATTGCACTTACTGTAGCCATTAAGGTAGGCTATGTAAAATGATAGTTTCCTTATCAAAAATGAACTTACTGGTTTCTTAATTTAATAAGATTTGAAATATTAAACACAGCACACTTTTGAAGATTTAGAGAAGCTCTCAGAAGTTTAATGGAATTCACAAAAAGTTGTGAATTTTATAACCATTTTTAGATCATCACACATCCAAACAACATTGACTCTCGTTCAGATGGGGCAAAGTGTGTCTGACATAGACAATGCCCATTATTTTATGAGGAAAAACAGTTCTAATATATTGAGATGAATGTTTCTTATAGAAAAAGTAACTATTTACCACATGTTAATACAGTAATCCACATCACACAATCATTGTATGGGGTTTCTCTTTTTCACGTACACACACTCCAAACATTCATGTTGCTGTAATTCCCAAATCTGGCAGTTATGTCAGTCGATGTTGCAATTTATGTGAAATGAAGCTTTATGAAAAGCGCCCATCTTCAGAAACCTTCACTGTCATTAATTTTCTGTAACATGAAATGAATTTGACTCATTTCAGATGATTGGTGATGTCAGTATTATGTGTCATTTGGATTCTGTGTGCATGTAATGTCAGCTTCTTTCGCAAACGTGTCGGGTGTACCAGGCTCCGAACTGTGACTGGTGATGCCTGTGTTTGGGCTCCTGACACACAATTGCCTGTTTCACTTTGTACTATCCTCCGAATTGTGATGGTCTTCCTGGTGATTTCCGTTTCAAATTGCCTTGTGTTTCTTTAAGTTGAGGTGGCCAGTGACAGGCCATTGCATCGGTTGGAGGTTCTCTTCCACGTGTACTTAAAAAACTGCATTTAATGGTAATGGACATGTTAGGTTCTGCTGAGTGGACATGATCATATTGACTGTAGCAAGCATTTGACTCTGCTGTCATACTGCATGCGCAGACTAGAACTTGGTGACTTGAACATTGCTCAACAAACTCCATGATTACATAAGTAGGACTGAATCTTGGAACTGTTTACATTTATTTTTCATGACTTCATCAGCTTAAATATATGGAATTGTGTTTGTAAATATATTGTTGTTTCAGGAAGTGTTCCACGAGAGAGTAAAGGTGTACCAAAATTGGCAACATTCACAACAGATGTTGAACAAAAAAAGAGAACAGAAAGCAAAGCTTGAATTGTCAGGCAAACCAGACAAGGGCAACCAAGCCAGTGTCGAAGTTGTTGAAGTAAGCGAACCTAACACAGTTACGCGATAAAGCTGTCTCTGTGTACATGAATATTAGTATGAACATACAGAGATTTAATATTGTAATTAGCTTCCCTATGAGAAATGTTCATAGCTTCACATACAGAGTTCCAAAAGATACAAATTATTGTACATTGTTTCATTTCAGTGGGAGGCTAAAGTAGAGCGTGGTCAAGAAGAATTTGACAATATTTCAAAGATGATAAAGAAAGAAATGGAGCGGTTTGAAGTCAGTAGAGTTAAGGATTTCAAGGCAATTATAATCCAGTATCTGGAGAATCTGATGACCCATCAGCAGCAGGTAGGAGATGTGTATTGTTATACAATGGCATTGCAGTGTATAGACCTCTTCAGTGTTACCATCAACTTAACCTCTACCTTCTGACATATCTTAAAACTCCCACATTTATTATTATAAGGTCTACCTGAGGCTGGTCAATGATTCAAGAGGTATCTTGGGTTGTACAGATGTGGGAATATTCCATCAGGATATCTGGACTAAAAACTAACTGAACTTGAACTGTTCTGTGGGGGATAACCTTTTGATTCCATTTCATGTTAAAGTGCCCCACCAGGGTTTAGACTTAATTTTAAGCTGTGTAGCATTCCTCTTCTGCCTGTGACTAGGAGTGAACATAATTCCACCCGATGAGTGCTTATACCTCAAAGGTAGGCTTCTGCTCTTTTGTCCTAAACAATGAAATTGGAAAAGTAGTTTATAGCTTAAGAGTCCCACAGACATACCTGGCATAAGTTGAGAAAGAACAGCTTAAGAGTCCCATTGACATACCTGGCATAAGTTGAGAAAGAATTCAGTTACACTTCCACATTTTAACCCTGCCACATTGCTGTGAGTTCTCAGATGCTAGAAAGTCGCAGAAAGGTCTGGTGGTGTAGGAACCACCATAGCTCATCTCTGAACATGTGAGGTAATAATTACTGTGAAATCGTGGACTGTATAAGGCTGGCTCTTGGTATAGTGGTCAGCAGTAGGCTTGTGAACATGGTAATTGTACTTTTGGCAAACAATTTCCTCTGACCAGTGGAGTGACTATTAGCTTTTATAGAAGGGCTCTCCTTCATGGAGTTTTATTTATGAGTTCTTTTGAACAATGTTATGTATAAAACAAGTATTTTTCTCTGTTTCAGCTAATCAAGTATTGGGAAGCATTTCTTCCAGAGGCAAAAGCAATTGCTTGAGTGCTACTGGATTGTAGGAAACCAGCATTCCAGTCCTTTGCCAAGCTGAGTTTTGTGCACATAAACATCCTTTTTTCTTGCCTTTCAGTGTGTGAAAATGACATGCTTATTTTCTCAAGAACCAGTATCATTCGGTGTTTGTAACAGAGCAGTAAAGAAAATTCACATCTAAAATGTATACAGGTATCACGAAAGGTGTATACAATTGCATTATATATATGAGACCTCTGGTTTTGATGGAACATACTGAAAATGGTGTCCAAGAACAAAAGTTTGTGTCAAACAATAAATTTAATAATTTAATTTGGTATGTACACTTGCACATTGATAAGTTCATATGAAGTGGACGAATAAATTGTTTTCCATGAGTTAGAACTTCATTTCCTCTTGCCTCTCATCATCTGAAGTGTGTATAGGTCGCTAACATCCGTAGCTGTCTCATGAACCCTATATGTGTTCTTGTAGTTTTCAAAATCTGCAGGTATTTTAAAAATTCGTTCCAGTCAGTGGACACACTGTCTTGGGTTTTCACTGCCTCATCCAGTGGAGTTAACTGCTGATTTCATTTTGCTAGCCACCATATTGTTCGTGTATACCATTTTCAGCTGACGTGCAATACTCACGTTAGAATCAGTGGCTTTTTGTATAAGTATGGATATTATATTTTAATTCCTTGTTTGTTATATGCTTAAATATGTCTATAGTGAAACCATAAATGGCAGGGTTTCACAAGAGGGTAAAGTTACATTGCATTTACTGAAGTCTTCATTTATAAACACAGAAAGAAAAATGACATTAGACCAGTATTAAAACAGGGTGTAGATTTGTTATATGCAGTGTTAGATGGATGTGACATTTTAATGTTTCACATTGGTGCTCTGTTCAGAAGGAAGAAACAAAAATATTGAGAAGTGGAAGGTATTAATTTTGTTTTGAATTTGGTGTACTGTAAACACAGAAATTTGCACATTTATTGATATTCTAGGTGTTTGTCCTGTTAGTTTGATATGAAACTTTCTGTAGCAGATTACATTGCAGATTGAATGCAAATAATTAAGTCATGCCATTTTTATCAGTTATTCTTGTTTCTTGGAATTAAGCTGATAAATATTTATGTTATTTATGTTGGAAATTACTGTCTTTTTAATATCATGATGTAACATCAAGAAAACTTTGGAGGTGAAGATCACACCACAACAAGTATGCACTGTAATGCAGATTCAGTGTTAAAGACAAAATTGACTGCATCATGAAGGAATTTTGTGTGGCTTGCACATTGCACAGAGGATTATAACTGCTGACTTATTGGGTGGTTTTCTTTCACTTGTTCTTGTTTCCTCTGCTCTGTTCATTAAATACATTGACATTTCTAAAGTGGTTTTGCACTGTATTTGGTCCAGCCCTAATAAAAACTTTTCAGAAAATATATTACTAATGTGAAACAACTTTTATTATACTGCTGTCTTGTGAAGTGTGTAGTTTCAAGGTGAAGCTCTTATTTACATTCTGTTCAAACCACAAAATGCACACTTCACTTAACCAGAGTTTGTCCTCATGTATCCCTGAAGAAGGAACTTTCCTGTCCCTCATTCCAGTTGGTCAACCTGAGCTCCATCTCCTCTTACCTTTGCATGGGTGTGATTGGCCAGTCTGCTTGTGCTCCTTGGTCTGATCCTGTACCTACCCCTGTGTAACCCATCAACAACCTAACCCACCTCACTTCAACCCTGAATTGGAGGTAGTCGAGGGAAGCCGCGACAATGAATGTTGAAAAGGAAGGTAAGAGAACAGGTGGTCTAGATCAGTGTTCTACAGATATTTTAAACCCCCTAATTTGTCAGACACATGATAGACACACTGGCCTCATGGAAAGGGGGTACAAAACTAGATGGCCATAAACATCTATCTATGTGTGAGTTCTTGCCCTATAACAGTACAGGCATAAGAAACGAAGACATAACATGTAAAGTAGAACTGCCAGTGATGAATGAGTGTGTGTTCATGTGTATAATGAATTCTAACCACAGGATACTGCCTTTTTCTAACAGTACCATGCATTCTAACCACAGAAGATACTGCCTTTTTCTAACAGTACCATGTGATCTAGGCTACAGTTTCTTGTAAGGATTTGTGGCACGCAGGTTTTGGTCAGGAGGATAAAGTTATGGGATGAAGGATAAGCAGACCTAGCAATCTTTTGGTAAGGGAAAAATTACATTGCAGGTGCACTGTTCATGACCTCTGCATGAACTGCCCCCTTTTCATTTTCTTTCCATTCCCATTGGCTTATCTCTATGCCTGACATCCCAACTAACTTCACCCTGAAGACGGAGGCAGTGCATTGCTCCAGAATTTTGGTGGCCACATGCAAGACTACATGGCATCATACCAGAAGACCACAAACAACCATATTTCAGTAATTGGCCAGTTCCTTTGGGTTGATAAAGACGCAGTTCAGTCAATTACTGGCATGTCTCAGCACGTTTATTAACAAACTAATACTCGTATATGTCATAAGCATCAAAGAAACATAATTATTATCCACAATTAGTAATTAAGGCATATAAAATAATTGTAGTTATCAGTTACATCCATCATCACTACACAGAAAAATGAGGAAAGTGGCAGTAATTTTCACTTCCAGTTTCCAATGGAAAACGAAGTCAATACTTGTAATACTAATTTTTCTAACTCGTAAAATACGCCTGCATTTAAATAATGCTAACTAGAACGTGTTTGACACCATAAATTATGCTGTGGACTTGGCTGTTCTAGTAAACTCTCTTCTACTTGTTTTTTAATACATACTACTGATAAATGGGTTTTAGCACCTGGTTGATTTGTAAGAAAGGTCATTAGATTTTTCCTGTTGTACTAAGGAATACAAAGCTATAACTCTGCATTGTGGCATGTGTACAATGTTGTAATGTTTGGTACGCCAACAATATATTTTCGAACATAATCACACTTCTGAATTGGAGCACTGGCTGGTGGATGAAACAAATATTTAATCTTCTGTTTGTGCGGCATAGGTTAATGAATGGTTATGTATGTGGAGTTTGAAACTAAATTATGTCATATATATATAAACAAACTTACATGGCATATTTACGCATACAGGCTAAGTAGCTGCCTTTCAGAATTGATAATACTTTCTTGTGAACATTACATTCTCTTGAAACCAGTAAACTTCAGGATGTAAATAGGATGGGGGACAAAAAAATGTATAAATTTTGGTAGGGCTATTTCATAAAAAGTGGTCACTTAAGAGCCAAAAAGGGGTGTAAGGACAGTTGGATCTTAGGGAAAACGAGGGGGATAAGGTAAGTTGCGACGGACCAAAAGTGAAGTTCATTTCTGTAGCATTGCTGTGGACAATGAGCTGTCCGCTTATCACTGTGAACCGCGAATTGCAGCGATTTCATACAGAAATAAATTTATATAAAAGGAATTCTTCCGTTCTTTCTTAACACACACATCAACGGGCTTTTTAATTTCCGGGTCCTACATTACTAAGTTGTATGTTATCGTCTTAATCCGTGTTTACAACACTAAATCACAAATTGTTTCGTTATTTTACAATTTCATGCGCTTTTATTTAACATGTTTTGGTTGCATTGTGTATATATTTTCGTATTTCACAAGCCACTGTCTCGTGTCAAGGAGACAAACATAGTTTATATACAGATATTTGAACGTCATTTTAATTTTTATATTGAAATGATGCTGCAGTGCAGTTGTGTAGACCCACGGCAGTCTATGCGCATGCTCATCAATCATGTGTAGGAAGAGGGTGTGTACTTTATCTGCTGTACGTTGATGGAATAGACAGAGAACATTTAATTATTAGGGCCTTTAGAAGATGATTGTTTATAATGTCGTGGACGTCATTCCAACAGAAAGACAACAAAGCTCGGGCACAACCAGAGGGGAGAGAAGTTCCATGTGAACCGTGAGCAATCCGTTATCTTCTCCGTTTTTTATGACATGTGTTGGTTCTTGCATACAGTGACGTCATACAACGAACATGACTACCGCATTCGTGACATCATGGGCTGTAAATATTTTGAGGATATTTATTAAACATATACGTGTTATACTTTTTCAAGGTTACATTACGATTGACGATTGCTGAGGTCGTATACTTATTATATTTTTTATGTAACAGCCAGTGCGCTCCGTATAGTGGGCGGGTATTTTAAATTTAACTTAGGGGAGAGTGTAATATTTGAATATGGTTTATTTTCTATATTAGGTTCAGTAAACAATGCCGTAAAATTCGTTTGCATTTATTGAATTGATCCAACGACTTTGTTACTCTTAAAAGGTGTACTGTCACTTGTGATTGTTGAACCTGTGGTTGAATGAAAACTGCATTTCTTTGAATAGCTAAGTAAACACGAACTCTTCTGGATAGATCCAGCAACTGTATGCACATTTTGACCCATTTCAGATATATGCTCTAAGAGGTCAAAGCTGCTTGTATCTGGGCAACAGGGCAGTCATCTAATCCATATTAACTTGCTTTTCAGCAGAAACCTTCCTACAGTTGTGTGTGTTCCAGGGTGGGAGAGGAAGTGCAGAGACTGAGTGTGATCCACTCATTGCCGTTTCTTCTCACAGAAGACGAGCCACAATGCATGCAGAAAGTCTTGTCAAAGGTGCAGCAGGTATGGGAACTTTGCCTTCAAATAAAAAACTCCACCTGCTAAGGTTATATATGCATTGATCTTTACTTCCATTGCCTGGAAATAGCATCTTGAATGGAATTGGTCTGTAGCAATGGCATCTAATTGAAATAATAGTTTTTTGATTTTAATGACATAAACTAAAAACTTGTAGTTGAAGACATTGTTAAGGAAACTTGAATATCTTTTAATAATTTTTTGGAACCTATGTTCTCTGAAAAGTCGGTGTTTATGAAACACTGTGAACAGGTTATTTTATAACAAGCCCTGGATAAAATAGGCCTTGAGTTTAAGAATTGGAACATAGGTTGACAAGGGTAGTGAAGAAACACAACTGTTTAAGTTTAACCACTTATATCTTAGCTTCATGCCAATTTTCTGTTCAGTCGTCATTAATTTGTCATATTAAATACTTGAAAATGGAAATCTAAAAAATTATATCTGCATACTTTACATAGAATCATTGAAGAATCAGTTTTTGTTTGATATATCAAGTGTGTTACCTCTCAGATAAACTTCTACTTTTTTGTGAGAATTCAGTGCACTGATGATGTTTTAGATAAAATCATATCTGCATACTTTACATAGAATCATTGAAGAATCAGTTTTTGTTTGATATATCAAGTGTGTTACCTCTCAGATAAACTTCTACTTTTTTGTGAGAATTCAGTGCACTGATGATGTTTTAGATACCTAGGTTACTTGATAGCAGCAGTAAGAGAACAACAGAAAATGGCCATCTTATACAGGTAGGCCATTTTTCATTGATCTTTTGTACATTTTATAAGCTATGACCATTTTATTCTAATTAATCACAAGTCATTGTACCATTTGTTGTTGACAGTTGGAAAACTGTCAATGTAAGTAAGCCAGGCAGTATGTTTGCAGAGGTCAGAAGTAATAAACACGTGTCTGTTTTAGGTTTTACCAAGTGCAAGTGTAGAGTTCCATTTAGCTGCCAGTTCCACTTTTCTGATGATCCTGGAGAAGAAACTGGTTCATCCACGCACATTCACTCAGACTTTTCTACAGAGCATTTTGTCTTTCATAGATAGCAGAGATCCAGGTACATTTTGTATTCCATTAGCATCAAGAAATTGGTTTCATGCTGTGCTTTTTTGAAAGGAGTTTGGCCAAGAAAATGCTGGTATAGATGTTGTCTGGATATGTGTGGTAACCCATCTGTTCAAGTGGCTCTTCAGTGGCAACTATGGGCCCATTACATGGCACTAGTACGTATGTAACCATATGAAATGTCAGATACCATAAGTGCTAGGATTCCATATTTTGTGATCTTTCTGCAGAAGCACAGTTGCCCTCTTAATGTCAAGCATGCCGTGATCTAATATAATTCTCCATACTTTTATTATGTAAGGTGGTACTTAAAAGTTTTGAGAATGTATTTCTAAACAAGGATTTCTGTGACTGTCCAAGTTTTTGTGTGTTGTCCATTTTAATTTTGATAAGATTTTAAGCTTTCATAGTGACTGAATGGAGTCTTCTCAGTTTATCTGTCATTTAAGTATGGAGTTTCAGTCTACAATTTCACATCGTCTCTGTCTCCATTGTCAAGATCGATGACCAATAAAGTGATTAAATAAACTCTTTAAGTAATTTACTGGAGATGTCTTTAAAAACAGTAGTAGCTATTTATTTTCCATATAACTAATTTACTGGAGATGACTTTAAAACCAGTAGTAGCTATTTATTTTCCATATAAAGTGCTTGATGTTTGTCCACGTTTTGCAGTTGTGGCCAGCGCATGGCTCGAAACGTTGTTGGATGTGATAGATCTATTGCCTGCCAATGTCATCAAGTCTGATGTAAGTGACCCCTAGTTCTAGAGTCAGAACAGAAATATATCTGCCTATTCAGTGAATTTTCATGAGAATGTTACTCACATAACCAAACAATGTAACTGAAAATAGGTTAAAAAAATCTCACATTCTCAAGATTTGCCTTTCACCTCAAGCCAACAAGCTTGAATATAAGAAAAAAGTAAGGCTGTCCTGCTACACGCCACGTAGGCACTCGGGGGAGGGGTTTGTATATTGTTCTTAGTTTTCTGACACTGTCCAGGTCTGTTCTGTCTTCATTGTAAGACCTAGTTTCACATATGTACAAAGCAGAGTTGAAATGACATGAGATGTCCCACATTCCAATGTCAATGCAAACCTGCAGGGTTGTCATGTGGCTTTCTGAGAGAGTGCTGCAGAATGCTTGTCATCTGTGCATGAGGCAGTTTTAACTGTGAACTCCAGTGATCATTTTAAAACAGTATTGATACACATTTTCTTCTTGGAAACCTACAACTTGTTTTGTTCTGCACATTAAGTGATCAGTGTGCAGCAGCATGACATGGCAGTAAGTAATAGAACACTAATTAGTGGGAATACATATTTATGAGATTATATTAGTAAATAATGCATTTAGGGTATAGTCTGTTTTCAGAAGAACTGACACTTTTGCGTTGGTATTTGAACCTCCTGCTGTGTTCCTTAATTTGTTGATTTAATTTTTTGATGCTGTGAAGACAACTTACAAACTTATATTTATGTTGTGCTCTTAATTATATGGTAAGAATTAGGACACTTATGATATTTTTTGCAGTATGTAAGCTGTTTTATTGTACTTCCAGATTTTACCACTTGCCATTTCCAGACAGATTGCTCAGTCCATTTCTGCCCGTCTCACAGCCTGTAAACTGCTTGGAAAAATGGCAACAAAATTTGAACCTTATATGTGAGTATGTAGAATGGCTGCTGTCTCCTTGTTCTTATTCATTTTACTTTACTCACATGTACAGATGCACCTTTGTGTTTTCCATTGCGTCAGAGTCACTACAAGGCAGTCCAGCATTTCCTAATCAACCTGTGGGGTGTGTTATTTGTCTGGGTTTTCACTGTGGTGGGGGAAGAAAAATGGTGGATATTTTTGTGGTAATAATATTTAAGGCATATTCACAAGGAATTAAGAGTGTAAATATTTATGACCTATTAAACAAATTATAAAATGTTGTTTTTAGTTAACTATTCCAGTTTCATAGGTTAGATATATAGCTCTATCACCTTCAGTTATGAAACACTGTGAAAGTTTAATTGTGTGATAACGACTCAGGAGAAGTGGGTGTCTGCAAGTAGTGAAAGGAAAATGTGAAAAATTCTCAGGGAAATATTTATGGAAATTTTAGGTAAGAAATTATTGTTATTTTTGAAGGTATGTGCTTGTGGAAGCATCATTGCAATCAAATACACATTGTTTAATGATTTGTTATGCATAACCAGTATCCACCTAAGTTTGTCTTCAGCTGAAATGTAATGAACATGGAATAACTTGAAGTAACATGGGTTGCCATCTTGCTTTACTTTAGTAGGTACCACAGCACAAACTACTTTACTCTGTTTCACAGGCTGAAGAAAGATGTACTACCATTGATACACTCACTTTGTCAGGATGTGAACTACGAAGTCCGCGCATGTATCTGTTCCCAGTTGCATTATGTTGCTAGAAGTCTGGATGCAGAGACAGTAAAACTTGCGTTGTTGCCATCATTAGTGGAACTGGCAAGTGATGAAGAGAGTTGTGTACGGCTCGAAGCGGTGGAAACGATCGTAAATATGCTTCCTAATTTACAGACAGGTTGGTGACATAATCAGGTATGACATTGTATCCCAAACCAAAACAAAAATTTAAACACAGTGCAATAAAATAAATGATGATGACATATTTATTTTGATGCACGCTACATCGCAAGCTGTAAGTCATGCAGTTTACTACATTCTATCAGACTTTTGCTGCACAAAATTAAGCCATTTCTTATATAATTAATGGTAATAGCAGCATAAGATAGTAATTCAAGGTGCACATAGGCCCCACAGGTTTTGTGTTGTTTTATTGACTGTTCCCCACAATCTCGGTGGTCATGTGTAACGCTAGCGTTCCACTAATCCATTAACCCCTGAGTTAAAGTCTGGCTGGCAGTTCCATAGCACAGGGGCTTCCCCATTCTTGTATGACAAGTTTAATGTTACATTCAACGTTTTAACAGTGACGAGTAAGATGATGACTGACTTCTGGGATGTTGCACTCCTTAACCTGGGCTGATGATGGAAGCAGCAGGCGCTGAAACGTTGGTTAGCTTCTACCTGACTGCAGGGCACAACATCCCAGAAGATTGTCATCTTGAAATATGTTGTTATGTTTACATGTTTCAAGTTCATAATCCAACAACTGTTAAGGTCCACACTATTTCGAGAATTAATTTATGAATGTTCTGGTGACCACCGTACATTAGAAAAATATTTTGAAAACATTTCTCACACGATGCTGTAAATATTAGTAATTAATGAACTATGGTGGAGCATAGCACATATTGTGAAAAATATAAGTGACTTGAGATTTTATGCAGTTGCATATTTGTTCTCTTGCTAGCCACGTCGTATTTGTTTGTTATTTATTTAATGACATTGTGAGTAGCTCAGAGTAAATAGTACACAGATTTCTATAACTGTTGCCTAGCCAGGTGTTCTGTATGCAAGTCAGATGTATTACCACACGTACTATTATAGGGCCTCAACGCATGTGTCGTGCTGATTGCTGTCCAAATGAAGCAGTGTATAAAAAGTGCTGTCACTGTTTTCTTTAGATTCTGTGAAGTTTACAATTATTCCACTGGTGAAGAAAATGTGTGAACAGTCTTTAAGAGCAGAAGATTCAGTAATGGTGAAGATGTCGGAGCAGTTTGGGAAACTCTGTCTTGCGTTAGAAAGTGAGTAATTGTCATGTTTTTCATAACAATACACTGGGAATTGAACTCACTACCTTCTGCAAATGAGGCAGCTGCTCAGGCATTTATTTGTTGGATGCACTCTGTAAAGTGCATCACTGTGGTTTACTTTCCGATGGGTAAAAATCTTGCGTCTTGTAGTGGGACAACTCACATCTGAAATAACAGAATGCTAACATAGCCACCAAACTGAACTTATTTTTTTCTTAAATCTACCAAACATAAATCAGTAGGTGCCACACTCTTTTGTGTTTTGAATAAAATTGTGTTTCCTTCTATCAAAACATTACACAGTTATTTCTGAAACAGCCATTTTATGAAATCTGATAATTTGTTTGTGTTTTTTTTATTTCATAAAAGGTAAAATTGTCTCTGCAAAGATTGATGGATCAAGTTATCTGTATAGGATAAATCACTGCATTATAAATCTAAATACCAGTGTAACTGATATTTGCTTGAAAGCTCGTAAAAGTGATATGGATCCAGCCGCACATACGTTATATAGATGCCTCTGGAGCAAATCAGTAATAGTGCCAAGTGGATCCAGCTGCACATACGTTATATAGATGTCTCTGGAGCAAATCAGTAATAGTGCCAAAGAAGCATAAGTTTTTTAATTACCTCTTGCCTCATTTGACTGTAATTCAAAAACACAAATCATGTCTATAAGTGTTTCAAGCAGTTAGTTTAGGCCCTTGTATACTTCCTTAGTGTTCTTTCTATTTTGAAGACCAGTGATGTACATATAAAGGGTACTTTTTGTACATCAGCCTCAGCATTCCATCGTATTGCTTTCTTCTGACTTTGCTAGGGATGAGTCCAGTTTTTATTGAACACTGTGATGTCACATTGGTAATATCTTGTTAGATAACTTTAAACTTTTTCTTCGGTGCTATTTTTACAACAAGGTTATATTGTAGTCTAGTGTTTCTTCTGCCAGTTGTTTGATCTTTGTAGCATAGACTCTGAAGTAGAAAGTGTCTAGTTAATAGTTTGTTACAGATCTGCTTACACCACAGGAGAAAGTTTGGATGTTGCGACACTATCAGAAAATGGCCGAGTTGGGACTGCTTCACGCGATAAAGCCGAATGTGGCAGATTTTACCAGGGTAAGGCTTCTCCTTATGTTTGTTCTGGTAAAAATGCTTGTAACCTTCTCTGCATGAACTCTTGTGCGAGTTGCTGGATTACAGCATGGCAGTTTGCTTGATGCAAGGTCAGTTTATTGATTTTTAGGGCTTCACTTGACAACTAATACAACTTACTTTACAATTTTTATTTTAATACCAGGAGAATATGCTGATGTTTCAGTGTTGTATATGATAATCTTAACAGCCTTCAGTAGCATATTAATTCTCATGTTCAGAGAACAGATTTCGTAACATAATCGAATTATGTTAGAACAAATTCATTTGGTTAGAAATGTATGAATTATAAAAAAAATGTGCTAAAATAAGTTGAGTAAAAATGTGTATGGCATATCACAAAACTGGTCTGTCAAGGGCAGGTATTAATTTCTAGCAGGCTTCAGATATGTACTTGGGTTAATGTGTTAATGGGGAACAGACTTTTCATCTGTTGATGTAGATTCCATGAAGACCTTTTGTACACTTGCAGATGCCAGATGTGGTACCAGACACCACCAATAATCACGTTGCATGCAGGTATAACTGTGCATACAATTTCCCAGCCATCGCCATGTTTTACAGCTCAGCTGGAAAAATGGATAACTTCAACAAGCAGCTATATCCTACATTTCAGGACCTTGCAAGCGATCCATACTTCATTGTTCGCCGGAAAATTGCCTGTGGCCTAAATGAGGTAATGGTTTCCTTGACCTTTAACCTGACAGCAACCTTACAGATTTATAGTATATTTTTGTTGTGATGAAGCCTAAATAATGGAAGTCAGCAGTATTAGATTTTATGTTGCGTTGTATGTTGTTGATTTCTTGTGCAGTACATCCCAGAGAAGTCTTTCTGAACAAAATGCTCAAATAAATAAATTGATGATGATGATGATGACAGCAGTGTTGGTGTTGGTGGTAAATATTCATGAGATAATTACTGTAAAATTAATGGAATATGAACGAGGTGTTTATCAGCCAAATTTGTTCCTTGACTGCTGGCAGAGGAACAGAAAGATACCTATCTGTGAATTCTAACTGGTTTGAACATGCAGAAAGAAATTAAATAGTTTTAAAAACGGTCGTAACTGGTGACAAAACTTGGTTATGTGTTTTTTGACTTAGAAACAAGGCATTAATTATCATGATGAAATCCTCTTTACCGCCATGATTAGAAGAAGCATGCAGATTGTTATGTTAAATCATCTGTATTGTTATAAGTGTGCAGAGTTTGCTGTTCATTGGTCCATTACCAGGACCCAATAAAAAGTTTCGCTTCAGAACTTAGTATAATCTCCAGAATGCTGTAACTAGTTGTGATTTTATAATCCTAATGTTTGCATTAAGGAAAGACTATGTGCAGCATTCTGGTAAGTATGCAACACGTCTGTCATGCTGTCTTATGAAGTTACTACTTTATGTATAGTACATTAGAATGATACTATTGAACTTATATTTGTAAGAAGAAATAAGTTTTGTCTTTTCCATATTTTTTTCCATCATTAGAATGTCCTGTTTGCAGATTGCAGGAGTACTAGGGGCAGGCAATTCTGTGCTGAAACCTGAACTGATAAAGCTTCTGGGTGATAATGATGAGGAAGTGTTGCGGGGGTTGGTGCCCCGCTTGGGCGAGACTTTGATGCTGCTTTCCAAGGCAGGCACCTTCTCTCCAGATGTTATGGTGAGCACTTAGTGAATACAAGGCGTCATACCATTAGTCTGTATTTATGTTCCCACCAGTACACAGTATGGAAGTTGGTGTCAGAAGATTCCAGTACTGCAATGCTTAGATGGCTGTGCTTAGAATTTCATTCTGTTTGACAAGAGCATTATATATTGTCTGAGCTGAGATTTTAACTCAGGAACTCCTGAATATGAATGAGTGCTAACCAGATGGAAATTCATGAAGCAGATGTTTACGTTTATAAATTTTGATGTAGGTTTTGTTTAAAGATATTTTAATTAACCAAGCACGGAGTTTTCCTCCGGGGGCTTCCCCGGTTTCTCTGTGGCATCCCAACAATTACTCCATTCACACACAGAAGAAGGCAATGGCAAACCACTTCTGGATCATCTGCCAAGAACGTATGTGAACAGGTCCCAGTCCGAGAAAAGGATGGAAGGATCCTGTTCATATGGACCTGTCATCAGACAGAACACTAAATAAACAACTAACTAACTAACTAAATCATGTGTATATGCTATTGTAATCTGTGAATGGCTGATGTACTGTGCCATTGTACTCTAATTTTTTCTGCAACCAGCACATCACATCCACTGTATGGCATATGGCAGTGCAGAAGTATTGCAGTCATATAGATCTGTGTGGGAGACAAGTGAAGATCATACTGCAAACAAGTGCTTTCCAGTTTTCTGAGCTGCATCAAATCGTTTTTGCTGCCATTTTCCATTTTCTTTCATATTGCTTTCCTGAAAGCACAGCTCATTTTATGTGCACTGTTACAGGATAGCACAGTGATGGATATTGGGCAAGCCTTGCTCAGATGTGAAGCAGTGATCAGCATGACCACTAACTGGAGACTTCACACAGTGATACTTGGTCAGTTGGAGTGTTTGCCTCTCTGTATGCCGTCCGATTTCATCTATAGCCACTTTGTTCCAGTCATCTTTAATCGCATTTATGTTGCTGTAAGTGACAAGATGGCTGTGTGTTCACTCAATTGTCAGCATTTTGATAGCCATGCAATATTTCATTCTTCAGATGTAGATAGTTTTTATTTTTGTGCTTGAAAGCCACAAGGTACTAATTTGTTTTCTTAATTTATCATATTGTCTGTGGAATTTCTTGGAAATGCAAAGTTCTGTCAGTGTTGGGCAATGAGCAGAACTGATCCAGTGGTCAGAGAGCTATTTAAAAATTATTTAATGTGTTTTTAAGTGGTAATGCTTCTGGAAAGATGTGATTCTGGTCAGTGCATTTAGTGCTTACAGGTGTAGAGTACCTTATGCGTTACGTGTACCCTTTGCTGAAATACATCGCTGTGAACACAAAAAATTACTTCTGAATTGCAGTATGTTTGCCAGCATGGATTACCATTTTGCTTAGTGTAAGTGACTCTTAAAATGTATCTTGTTTCAACTGAAGTGCAATTAATATTTTTACATTGAGACTACTAGTGAAACCTAGTTTTCTGTTTCCTGATGGTCTATCATATTGAGGTGTTTTTTTATTATTTTCTGGGGTATAAATTTGTGAGAATCTACAGAATGCATACAACTTCATATCCCACATCTGAAAAACTGCTCCTCCTCGTCCTCAGTTGCTCCCATGTTCCTCCATCTCTCTGTGTTCACATCTCCATCTCGATTTCCCTCTTGAGTGCCCTCTTTTTGGTCTCATGTTAGAAGCTTTGTTCAGAATTCTCTTTTTATTCATTCTTAGAATGTGCCCATACCCTCTTATTCTGTGATTTATTAATTCATCTTCCAAGACATTTTAATTATTTAATTTCTTACTTCCTGTCTTTTGGTCTTCCTTGTAACACTTGAAAAATTCTTGTGTTTACTAAATTTATTTATTTATTTTGATTCATGAACTAGAATGCTCCAGGCATGGGTTCATGTAAAATCAATTATATTTTTACTGCAACAGTTTTTATTATTTCTAACAGCGCCCCGTCCCCTGCCGTATGGCAGCTGGACGAACGTTGCTGGTGTTCTTGCGCTACAATGCAAAACAGATCCAGAGCAGTGCAATTCAAGCACGCATAAACACAGGTTAGTTTGTACGAACAGCTTTTTATTTTCTCTCCATTATATTAGATCTTGTTTTTAGGATGCAATCATTGTAATTCCTTTTATCTCATTTGTTTTCCTCATTTTAGTTTTCCTATGTAAATTACACTTTCAGTGAATGGTTGTTATTCTCCTCATTGACTGTGGATGCTTGTTTCATATATTTGCAGCTACACTTTCTTTGTTACTCAGAACATTCAGAATAAAATAAAAGTAATTATAGTTAAAACATGTATGTGCGAAATGTGTATAGAATTCATATATTTGGGCATTTATCTGACCTGTTTCAAATTCACTTGGGGTTGATTTTTAAATCTGCTGTACAGTTTGTCATGAGGGAAGTGCAAGATTAGGTGAGTGGCTTCTGAGTGGCCTGTATCAGGTGTTAATTCATTCAGCTTGAATATAAACACAGAGTAGCAGATCATGCACTTGAGTGCAGTTTTCAGCTAAGTAGAAAATGGATGTTCCCTGTGAAAGTGTATTAACATTGCAGAAGCATTAAATGAATCATCGTGGTAACAGAAGATCAGTTACGTGTCAGAGCTATGTCCCACCCTTTCCTACATACCATGCTTCATTGGAAAGTTCACTGACATCTAGGAGACATATTCCAAAGTAATCTGGGTTGTTGGGTTTTTTGACCTTGTTTATTGTCTGTTTCAAGGACTGGATCTGCCCTCATTTTCAGATGGGGAGGGGAAGGGTGCCTGCTCTGTGGGGTATGTTAGAATGAGCTAATATCAATCACTGGACAATCTAGATCAGAACAACTACTGTTCGTGACTGTAATCTTGAGACTTACAAGGAATGCAGGAAGTCGGAAGCGTTAAAGGCTACTGCATAGCAGACGCTGTCTTTCCTCCTGTACCCCACTTCCTCACCCTGCAAGTCTCAAGATTACAGCCGCGAACAGTACAAGTGCATAAGCACCTGAGTTCATAGTAGGTGTCCTTCCCCTTCACCGTGTCTGAAGACGTCGTATCCTGTATGACATCAGATGATGGACAAGGCCAAAAACCCAGCAATCCAGATTGTTTTACACCATCGACAGAACCGTTCAGAATAGATGTTTCAAGGTAGTTTGTCTGCAGGTGCCCATGTTCTGATTTATATTTTTACCTTGCCATGATTTTCCTCAGAACCTGGTTGTGTATGGGTGCAGAGTGCTGACTGAGATTACAGGTTCTGGAAGTGTGATGATGTTGATTGTGGTCTTGTGGTTGTGATGCTGTGCGTTCTTATAGGTGCAGTTTTCAGGCAGAGACATAATGCGTATTCTTTATTGGTTCCAGACCTGTGCGGCAGTGATAGCTGCTACAAGCGAATGCTGTATGTCAAGATGTGTGCCATTGCCATGGATTTATTCTCTAGACGTTACTTCAAGGACCATTTCTTCAGGCCTCTCATTGGTTTGTCAGGTAAGCCTGCTTGTTATCTGTGTTTTTATTATGGCACTTATCTGCATTCTGGTGATGAGACAAGAATATGTTTTTTGTTTACTGTGTGTGATGGAGCATCCATGTTTTTAACACAGACCAGAAGCTGATTTGTCAATTCAGCCCAGTTTCTCCTGATTTTCTTGGATCTTTCTTGTGGTGTATTCTGAAGTAAAGTTTACATGCACTTATGAAAAATTATCTTTGTGAATAGGGTATGCATGACAATTGTTGTACTGTATTGGCTATACTATGAGCTTTGTTTATAGCATTTTAACCATTAAGCATTTAAGTATTTAACTGGTTGTAGTATGCAGTTGGTGGAAGATACGAACTGGTATTATCATCAGTACCTAGACAGACTTCATGACGGACCTTCTCCAGTCCCTGACGTCATTAATTCTGAGATGTTTTTGTTTCTAGAGTTCATTGTTCAAATGGGACATGACATTAGAGACAGACTAAAGGTCTACTGGTCGACTATTGAACTGCTCAACATTAAATTTAAATGTGCACCAATGAAGATAAAGGTTAATTAGTGTAAATCATTTCTTGGTACTTTGCAGATGATCGAGTTCCCAATATTCGACTTAAGTTAGTGATGATATTGCCAAAACTGAAGGCAATGCTGTGCCTACCACGGGATCGCGAACTGTTGACGTGTTTGGAAGCGTGCATTAGCAACCTGTTGTTGCACGAGAAGGACCAAGATGTGTCAGCGCAGTTACAACTTACCATACAGGCCTTGGCTGCTATAGAAGTTCGAGAGGAAGTGGTAAGATCAAATAAAAGGGGTCTGTTTATTGTGTGTCAGGATACCACTTTGATTTATGTTTGCCTGTTACATTTCATAATGATCTGCCTATAATATAAGATTTTTCTACACTCTGTGTGAGTTCCAGAGGAAGGATTTTATGTACTGCTTTCAACAAAGCAGGTTTCTGAGATGTGGAGATCTATGAACGTGTTTAACAAGTAGCTGTGAACATTATGTAAATGGCAGTTCTCTGTTTGATTGTTTGTTGGGTTCACTGTCTCTCCAGTAAGCCGATGCCAGTAATAACTGCGTATCAACAACACCCGCACCCTACCACCCCCAAACATGTTACAGCACTGCATTAATTCATGTTTTTCAACAGCTGTTGCTAAGTCACATTCCTTCAAAAAATTTCTGTAGCTTCACTTCTGCAAGTGGCTTTGTCAGCAAGCCTGCAGTTGTTTGATAATTTAGACAATTATGACATATATTTTACCACTTTTCTTCAAGCCATGTATGAAATGGCAGTCAACATCCACCCAGTGATGTTATAAACTGAACATTGTCTGATGCTGTGTTACAAGTTCTGAGCATCCAGAGCATTTCCAATTACACATCAAATTCATATTTAGTTCATTTTTTTTACTTATTATATCTCAAATTCATGCATTTTTTAAAATTGTAAAACACAAACAAAAATAATGGCTTTGTACAAGTAAATGTGTTCTTAAATCTTCACAGTCTCTTTGGTTGCATTGTCATTGGCACAGAAACAAACAACTAGGCATTCTCTGTAGGTAGCAGCATGCAGGACATTTAGACTTGGCACATCACGAAATAATGAAGTACAGTGCTCAGTGTGTCTTCAAAGGGTTAACTTTATTAAAATATAAATAGCCTGTCGTATCAAGCAGTATGAATTGTATTGACTCATTTTTGGTTCTGTGTGCAGTATTGTTTGTTTGCTGGTTGTGTGATGCAAAGCAATTGTAAATGATGTCTTAGGAAGGAAGTCGTCATAGCGTGTTTCTATTCAGTGTTCTGGCATTTTTGTGGAGGAACATAGAAAAATCTCAATCCCTTAGTCAGGGTAGCTCTGTATTCAGGCCAGGGAGAATAAATGTACTCTGAATATTATTTACAGGCTGAGAGTCCACTGCCTGTGTCAAAGGAAGATGGAGAAGATAAGAGGAAAGCTGATGAAGAAGCGAAATTAATGTCTGACCATGTTTCTGCATTAAGGAAACGGAAAGTTACGGATCAGGCTGATCCAAAAAGACGTGAGTTCTTTGCGTTACCATTTACAGAATTTGGGGTCACCTAATTAGTTAATTGATGTCACCACCATTGTTGTGGTGAGAAGAACATCTTTGTAATTTCTGTGTACTCAACAGAGTACACCTTTCCAATCTTGTACTACGTATAATGTTGAGGTTGCTACTTTGCATATTTCTGTTACATTTTATTGCTGTGACTGGTACAGTGGTGCTGATGTGTCAAGTATTAAAAATGAATTAAAAGTAAATTTTATCTAATTCCAGGGTCTGTTGAACTTAAAAATACGCCAGTACTTTCTGCAGCAGAACGAAAGAACTTTTTGTCAAAGTGAGTATTCATAATGTGTACTTGTTTATAGATACTACTAGTAAAAGATTGATTTAAGGTAAGGAACATAGTTGGTGTAATTAGAGTTGGATGAGACAGGTACGGTTTATAACATATTTGAGGAATCAAACATTCATAAGAGCTCACAGTAATATGAGGGTTGCTAGCACTGGTTTCTGCACAAGTCACATTATTGTGAGTCCTGTGTTTATACAGCAGTGATTTTCTCGGAAGGGTAAGACGTCTGACATTCTCAAATGTATTTATCCAGCCAAGGCATTTTGTACTAACGAAAACTACACAGCAGAAAAATTTACAGACTTCTGTGAAGATGGAAGGACAGTATTAAATAGAATCATAAAGAAATTCATTTTGAAGTTGTTTAATTGGATTGACTTGGCTCAATGAAGGACTTAATGGTAGGCTTTTGTCATCATGCTGATGAACTTTTGGCTTTCACAGCAGGGAAACATCTGAATATTTATTGTTCACTCAAAGAAGAAAGCCATACCCTGCAGTTGGTAATAGTATGTATACATCAAGAGGACTCACCATGACAGCAGCTAACAGCTGTCGTACAGTTGTATCATTCGGATTCCAACTCCAATTTCAGAAGTCTCAAAATTGCAGCTGTAATATGTAGTATAACCTTTTCACTTCTTACTATTATGAATTTAAATAAATCATATGACAATATAGTGGTAAATGAGATGGTTACTTTTTATGTATTTTAATATTGATGTGATACTGTGATTACACAAGTTGCTTGATGTCTGTTATGTGAGATTGTTGAAATGCGTATATTTTTTACATTTGTTTTTGTATTGATGAATATAAGGTATTCAAGTAAAAGTAAATGTCAAAATGCCTTGTCATGTGATAGGGCATTGTTGCCATTGTTAACATTGTCATTTTTAACATTTTTCCCCAGTATACCAACATCGAGCCTGGTCAGGACGAGCGTTCGACACTCAGCAGCATGTAAGTGTTTAAGATCTGAACATTCTATAACTTCCACGATTTAAACACATCTGCTAGTACAAGGGGTTTGTTGGTTAGCAGAATTACTGCAAGGTAGTGATTGATTGGCAGAGAGCTAAGCAGAAGGATAAACTGTTTATTCCATTGGCCAGGTGATATTTGGATTATACAGTGAATCCATCCAGGGATTTCTTTTTGAAGAAAGAGGAGAATCAGCTCAGACAGGTCTGTGAACCACAACATGTTTGTTGGCCTTCAGTCACTTAATCCACTGATTGCTAAATTTTTTTCTGTGAATTTATTTCTGTGTGTGTCTGTATATACACTTGCTTGCTTACTTACTTACTTAAGCGACCCGTTCTTCAGCTCGCGCGCGGACCCCAGCATACGTACACAAATCTTTGTTCTGATATATGATGTTTAATTTACTTGATAATTTATGCAAATACATTTTTGTCAAGGTTCTTCAAATTTCAGTTTAAGAGGGCTCTAGGTCAGCAGTCCAGCATGGCTTGGCAGGAAATCACTACTTACGGCAATTAGAATTGTTAAAAAAGATGTCCATTCATATATGATAATTAAAGGTGTTATGAGTTGTGACTAGTTTTCATTACATAAAATAATAATTATAATAATGTATTTTCAGGTCCTTGCTCTATAATAATTGTTGGAGTGTTGAGAAACATGTTACTAAGAAACTGTTATTTTTGGTTACAGTTGGCAATGATGTTCCACATAAGGACTCGGTGAATAGGTATGTAAATATCTGTAATGTACTCGTGACATGAAATCTGTGCTGGAAGTAGGGTTGGCAGGAATGGCTATGCTGTACTATTGCTCAGAACATCCGTCCACCCCTGCAACACCAATCATGTATATAGTGCACTGCACTACTGGGAGATTGCTTGAGTAAAATGTGTTTGGAATAGGAATACACAGAGTGCGCGTGTACAGTAAGATCGCCCCCTTCATGACTCCTACTTCCCAGTGACCAGTAGCTGTTGATTCATTACATCATGCGAAATATGACCAGGAGTTTGAAAAGTAGAGGGACATTTAAAATAATGAATTGATGTTAGCGTAAGCTGTTCATATTAGTTTAATTTTTAAAAGTGACCGGATTAGCCAAAGTTACACATTACACTTCTTGTTCGCATTCTGATACTGTCTACAAGCTCACTACATGACTGTGGCCTTTTTGAGAGCTGCATGTTATTGTACTATGAAGGGAGTATTTGTGCTGTTGTGGCTGGATCCTTGAATATTAGGTGATGGGTAATTTCTGGTGTTTCCTGAACCAACCTTGAATGCTCATGTTATGCTTTAATACTTTCACTGTCAGTGAGAATAAATATGGTAGCCGTGCATTAGACAGTGTTAATCAGTTGTAAGAATTTTCATATTCTTGAAATGTTTAATTTTTCCATAATTTCTTATGTATGATAATTTTTTGTGTGTGAAATTTCATTTAACAAAAGAAATCATGCATGTAGAAGTAACTGGTTTCAAGCAAATGAAAGCCGACTGATTCCCAAAACAAATCTCTAATTGCACATCTTACTGTCCTTAAATGGTCTAATTTCATGAGGTACTTTTATCATTATTATGGCTGTGCATATACTCAGCCTCTCACACTCAAGGGTTAACATCCAGGGGTGTCACCAGATGGTGTTATAATGTATGAGCACTTTGCTGGTTGAATTGCTTGGCTTACTAACCACAATATTTGCATGGTGTGCTTTCATTTTAGTTTGAAGTTTGCAGCTGCAACTAACGGCGTTTCCCAACAAGCAGAGCAAACTTACATCTCTTTAGCAAAACGCAGCGCAGTGGGCTGCTGTTCACATTCTCGTTTTGGATTACCTCAGAGTATTTTATCAACTAAAGATAATGATTTCTGCAGATGTTTAGCCGGAAATAAAGAAATGAATCTGCACACTCTGAGGCTTTTGCAAGAAAACCTTTTTGCTTCTGCCAGTTTGCCCCAGCTCAGAGCTGAGACTAATAATCTTAATGAAGACAGTGCCATCCACTTGAGAGATTGTCTTCACATTGGACGACAGGAAACTACTAACATGCATGACAAATGGCCTGCAGAATGTAAAGTTTGTGCTTTGAATCATGAGTCTAGTTATACCCTAGCTACTAACCATGCTATTGGCAGTTCTGAATCGTCTACAAGGTTTATTGTTTCCAGCTTGGAAGATGAATTCTATGTGGATGCTGGAATTCGAATCCCACAGCAACTTACCACATCAGATTTCACTCCATTACCGTCCAGGATACCAAATTTACGAGATATACTCTTCAAGAAGAATAGAACTGTCATTGATACAAATTTACAGAATATTTCTCAGTCAGCTTCACAGAAAGAAATGAAAACAGAATACATGGCTTCTCCTGAATCTGGAAATAGGAGTCCAGAGACGAAACCCAACTTCAGTACAATGCACAAAACTAATAATGTATCGACAACTTCTAAGTCATCATTGTCTGTTAATATTACAACAAAGAAGACCTTTATACCAAGTAACATTAACAGACGTAATTCTGGAGTATTCAGTGGCAAAGTTGACTATCAAACACAACAGACTGCAAAGGGTAAGTTGAATTTGACAAATAAACAAAAACCTGGAGGAAGTTTCACAACTACCAATAGACGGCACAGTTACATGGAGGGAGACAAAGTTGTTAAAATAAAATCCAGTGATGTCTCTGAAGGAAAGAAAGATTTCAGTGTATCTGAGAAGAGGAGACACAGTTACTTGGAACAGATAGCAACAGATGATGGCGTTGAACAAAATATTGGAAATTTTACTGTGAAAAAGTTAAATACACTCAGTGAAACAAAATCATCGGTAAATTCTGTTACAGACAGGCGGCATAGTTACAATTCAGGAGTTCAAAATAACAGAGTTGACATAGAAGTTCCTTTCCTTAAGAGGGGTGCAGCATCAAATCGCCACTCCATTGGGTCTGAGACTCGTAAAAGTATTCTTCATTCCCAAAGCCAAATTAAGAGGGGATTGTCACTAGACAGAGGAACTGGAACAGACGTTACAGTTGTTGGTAGTGCCGTGAAGAGACAGAGTATGGTTGTTCCATCAACTGTGACACATGCAATGCGGCGACACAGCTCGCTGGAGAGGGATGATATAAACACACTGAGAGTAAAAGAAAAAATAGTGGGGAATAAGTTTCTGTCTAGTAGTATGATATTTGCATCTGCAGGTGGAAAGACTGCTGTTAATGAAACTGCTGAATATAATAGACACACACAGAGAGATATACATTCTATGGACAATGTTGGAGCCATCAGCAAAGGAAACTACACGAGTAAGATACCTCGTGGAGGGGGCACAAGCCCTGGGAATAGTCGGGCAGCAAGTCCAACTGTTCTTGTATGCGGCAGTAACAGTAGGCTTCGCCAGAGGACAGCACCTAACAGTCGAGCATCCAGTCCAACAGGAGCAGAGAAGTTGCAGCAGGGATTGTCTGTTGGAAGCTTGACCTGTTCCATGGGCAATTTGAAGTTGGCAGAACCTGGAACAAGCCGACTGCCTGTTCGGTAAGTGTTATGCTTAATGGGAAGAAATTTCATTCCACAGAGCACATGACACGCTTGATGAAACTTGTTGCAGGAGGTCTACACACAATGTTAACAGGTGCAGTTCATTTTGGTTCATGTTAGATATTAGAATCCTTTATTTATATATGGGCCCAAAGTAATTATTTCTTTCATTTTGTTAATGGTAATCGGAACCTATTTCAAATTAGAGATAATTTTATATTAGTTTTACTCTGCAACACTCTTCTGTGTTTTAAGAAATTTCTGAAATAATATGAATTTAATTTAAATCACAAATGACATAGTCAGAAACTGTGGATACTCTTAAATGAAACCCATCTTTAAGCATTTCCAGGTGTTGATTTCACATAATTATTGTAACCGTCATGGCTACAAGTGCGACCTTTTTAAGGATTTTCAAGGGAAGTAAACTACTGTTATAAGGAAGTGTTTTCTCCTATTAAAAATATCAGTCATGATACGGTTTCATACAAGTGCAATAGAGAAACAGTATTTGTTCACCTTATTTTGATAAATGTAATACACACATGACATGTTCTCAAATGGCAGGAATTCTTAAGATAATATACATGAACTTTGATGTGACAGATACAGTAGATGCTAACTGTGGTCAGGGAAAAGTCCTGTAAGTACGAAGATGGCTCTCTTGTAGGTTGTAGCTCTCCATAGTCTGATAGAAGTTTACCAACATTTCAGAGGTCTTTGCTGCCTCCGTCATCAAGGCAATGGCTGACTCATAGTGTAGACCTCTGCTAATACCAATTTAATTGGTCTGTTAAGTTGTTTCAAAGATAAAATATGTGGATGAATGGGCAGATATGACTTCAGTGTTGTGTGTTTATGTGTAACATGCTTCATAATCATCATTACTGTTCATATCTTGTCTTTTGTTTTAGTTCATTTTGTGTTGTATTTTAGACCTGATAAGCACAGGGCTTCCTGACTGTTGTGACAATCCTCTGTAAACAAGTGAATAACTTTTATTACAATTAACATCTTTATTTATGGTGGTAATAATGAATGTTTTTGTATTTTCAGGAATTTCTCTCGCCTGCAGTGATGTTTTAAATGCATATAAAGTATCTTATCATGATAATTAGTACAGTAAAATGATGCTGTAATGAATGTGATTAGGACAGACATTGACTTTGTATGTTATGCTGTTGTAGCATATACAGTAAAGAGAATTTTGTGTCCAAGGTTTTAGAGACTGTCTTTTCCTCCATCACCAGGTGTTGATGTGAGTGACTCAGAATCCCGTTGTGTTTTTTGTGTTTATAACACAGTTTTCAGAGAGCTCGGTGGACTGGCAGGGATCAGCAGGGTCAGTCACCACAGTCCAAGTTGCTTAACATGTTATTGGTCCTTCCATTGCTTTTTGATGACCTTGCTTCTTTGGAGTATGTTGATATATAGGTTCCATGGTCAACTTAGAATCAATCTCACATCTGTTGTGGTTGTCAGAATCTCTTTCAGTAAGAATTCATGTATCCTCCTATCATAGTTAGCATTGTATTAGCCTTTGATATGCTCTACCTCAGTGCATTGTTCAAACCACCACTGACTTGTCTAGTAGGAATACGTGTGTACAGTGCATGTTCATCTCAGTGGTGCAGTACATCTGTCCACTGTACGTTTTCCCTAATTCACATGTAATGCATTATAGGCCTGGGTCATCTTTCACTGGTCTCTACAGATGGCACATTGTTTTGGGCTGGAATGTGCACAGTTCTTGTGTTGAGCCTTGTCATAAAACTCCAGACCTTGTTGGAAGAGTCCTGCCAATCCATTTAGCTTCTCTCAGTCTTGAATAGAAAACTAGAAACAGGAACCACATTAGATGGTGTTGATAGTTCTGTTTTGTTGTTGTTTTTTCAATGATTTCACAGGTATAATTTATAAGACAGTTGAAAATGTTGGATCCATTCCAGATCCTTGCCTGTACTTTAAAAGCGCCATTACAGTATTAAGCAGCAGGACATGTGAAGGGGTTACATTTGTTTATTTCAATTTAATCTTATAAAAACACTGTGCAAGGGATGGACTTCGTTATAATGATATTTTACTGTATGTTTTTATTAGTTATAGCAACGCTGATAATGACAATTATAGTTACCATTTCCAATAAATAGACTATATTGGTGTTACCTATGTGTGATTTTGTGACATTGACAATTTTTAGTGTTAATGAAACAATAGAATTTTAAATTTAAAAATGTAATTATATATTTGACAGTCTAAAGATAGTTGAAGTGTTACCTCAGAAGTCTTATATTTGAAAATGTAACTATCATGGCGATAAACAACTTTTAAAGATATAATTTTAGTTACCAGATATTCGGATGTGAATATTAGTAGTGTTTTCAACACAGTTTAAAAGAAGTACATATACTATTTGGGAAAGGATGTGAACTTGTTGCTGTTTTAGAATTATATGGAAGTCAAGATGATGAGTTAATTATTTTTATGAATCTAAACAGGATGTGTCCTACTTGTTACAAATTGTAATAGAAATTTGTATTTTTTAGTCCATTAAAAATATTTGTATTTTTATTTATAGTTCATTTGTCTGTTTATGCAACACAAGTTAATGTTTTTTAATATTTTCTGTTGGTCATCAACAGTTTTTCAGTTCCCTGTTGCCAAAAAGAATAATACTTTCGCCTTGACAAAGGAAAAACAGTATTTTATAGATGTACATGTTCCTATAGAAAGAGCACAGGAAAATGGATTTCTTGAAGACAAATTAATTGACTGCTAAGAGTTGTGGTATAGGCATTCTAATTATGGTATAGTGGATTTGCACTGAGAACAGGGTATCAGTTTGTCAGAAAAGTTAATTAATGTCAATGCCTACTGGAAAGAAGCACATGTAATATGTAGAAGTAGGTTTTGATTTAAGACAACTTTGAGAAGGTTATGAGGTTCTTACAGTGGTGAGAATGAAGATGGCTGTCTTCAGGGTTATAGTGTTGTGTACTCTGGTAGAATTTTACTGACATTTCACAGGGACTTGCAACCCCCAACAGCAGGGTGTCCTGATTGTGGAAGCAGCATATACCTCTAAATACCCCACTGCAAAGGAGCTCAGAGACCACGTTTTTTCAGCAGACTTTTATCAGTATATAAAATTTGAAATATGGATTCAGGTGCAGAGAAACCAATTATGGATGCTAATTGCTCGCGGGGAGAGGAGATAGTATGGCAGTCAAAGAAAGTTCCTTAGGGCAGTTCACAACCTTAGAATTTCAGGATATGAGTGGCCATTATTCAGTTTTTGACGAAACGGGTTAAATAAAATTTAGAATTACAAAGTAGGTAGGAGTAATCTATATGCCATCATAAATGAGTTGTTGCGTCACAAAATGCGTCAACGTTTGACTAGAAACAACTGTTGGCCACCTAGGTAGTTTATCTATGCAGTGAACAGTAGCGCCAATGGAAAGGAACGGAGACAATAGTGATGATTCAATTAAGGTTTGACGTTTGAAGAGGGAGGGTCTAATGATGCCTCCCTCTGCTTTAGGTTGTACGAGCCCACTTTTGAATGCTAATCAATTTGAAGTAAACAGCGCAATAGAAAGAATCAAATGTGTGTTAGTCGGCGATGGAGCTGTCGGAAAAACATCTTTAGTGGTCAGCTACAGCACAAACGGGTTTCCAAACGAATATATTCCAACGGCATTTGACAATTACAACGGTGAGTACGTTTATTTCTGCCCATCCGAAGTCAGTCTGTCATGGTAAACGAATTCATACATCATGCTTCTTTTACTCTTATGATAGAATAGCACCATCTTTATTGCTTCTATGTATTTATAATAGATAAGAATGTTTGGTTGAGGTACATTTTGCTGTGGAGTAGAAATGAGACAGGAGAGATTCTTAGTGCTGGCTTAAACTTCTTTGTATCATGATTCAAACTGGGGGAAGATTATTGAATAGATTAATTCCGTAAAGTAAAATCCTCATAAGAATGTACAGGGGTTAGCTTTTGGCCTGTGAAGGTTATATATGCATCTTGCACTTATATTGTGGATATCTGAATTGGTTTGAAAATTTTCCGTGTTGTCCTCTACAAATGATAATGAGAGCAAGAATTCATTGGCCAGCTTTGACACCAGAATATGCTTTGTATACATTCTTTTATGTGAAGAAATAACTTGTTGAAAGATTGGGTATTTGCCATTAAGTTGTAGTGATAGGTCTGAAGTTAGTGATGACACACTTCCATGTGATTTGTCTCTTTGGTGATTACTTTGTCTCTGCTTGCTATGACTGATTAGTATTTACTTCAAGGTTTGACACTTCCCAGTCATATAGTAATTGTAAATGTAATTACAAGTACTGAAGTGGGCTACATTCATTGAGTAACATTATGATCACTAAGTGACCAGGAATTTGTCAAATCTGTTTTGCATAAACTTGGTTCTTATATTAATATAGGTCATTCCTTCTTCACCTATGCAAAGTAAATTTGTGTACAATTTTACTGGAAAAAACAACTTAGTAGTTCATTTGCAGTTTGTAGCTTCTGCTTGTACTATTTTCTTTGTATGCTAACTGAACTCTGGGTAGGAAACCATTTTTTGACCAAATGTTGACCTGTTGCTCCTATTAATTGTATCCATCGTCTCTTGAATTCTAGGTCCATTCAGGATTTCAGAGCAAGTTGCTATTCATACAAATGTTATTAATAAAAGAATATTCTTCAAATTTGCTTTTGCCTCATACCTCTGCATGGCCAGTTAATGTCTCATCTTTCAACAAGCACCTACCTGTTGTTTGTGGAATATCATGTAAAACCAGAATGAGGAAATCATGGAAAATTTTTATTTTTTATGCAAAACCCTTCTACCATTGTTGTACAAATTACATTCTTATTGAATCTATTGATTTGGCTTTCTTGTTTAACAGTTTGTTTTTAATGGTGATATTAACAGACTTACTGTCTGATTTTCTGGCTCAATCAGTTACCTATTTGAATCATTCTCTTATATAAAGCTCATTCAGTGTGCACAGAAATTTGATCCACCTTTTCACATTCTTAGGTACATCTATATATTATGTTACTATAAATGCTGTGTTCTTTATTATCTTCTTCCTCAAGGCTTAGTCCCATTGGCATGTTTTATCCAATTTTTATTTCATGTGATTTTCCCATCTGTCTTCATCCCTTAGGTTTGTAGTCTTATTCTCTGTGGAATTCATTATATTGTCATTATTTTTCTTTATAGTTATGACTCACATTATGATCTTGATGGACATAATGTAAGAAAACTGTTGCCCTTATCAGGTGTTTAATTATTGCTCTCTAACAGTTGATAGTGATAAGCCAGTAAAAGTGCATATGTCTGAGATATAGTGGGAAGGTGTGATAGCAGCTGTTGGTGATTCATTGCATTTATGTAGATAGTAGGAGCCAAGAGATAGATACTGTACATAAAATAAAGGGTGGGTATGGTAGATACAATAGTGATTATTTATTTATTGTGACTTGTTGCAGTTTATGATCGGCATGGCACAAATTAGGCATATTCTGTCAGTTTTGATTTTTATCTAATAATCTGAATTTTCCAGCAGAGTCCTGTAATGTAGGGCATAAAATATTTGTGTGATGGATAACATTTCTTAGTGGTGGAGAAACTTCCTCTTAACCAGTACATTTGTATGGAGATGCTGTATGTTTACTGCTGTGTTGTTGATTTTGGGACATACAGATTGCCCAATATTATTTGAAGCTGTAATTTTCATAAGTGAATGAAGTAGATCAAAAGCATTACTAAAAAATTGAAGATATTTCAAAGTATTAAGTTTATATTTATGAAGCAGTCTTTTAATTTCCAGATGTTAATTAAATTTATTAACAGCTAAAGAACTCCTCAAACAGATGTATATAGTAGACAGAAGGAGTCACAGTCATGTCTGAATTCAGTCCCTGAAAAGCACTGTGACTGGAGCTATTCACCTTGGGATACCCTAAGTTTTTTGATCACATGAATAAAAGTAAATGGTTGTTTTGAAACATATTAAAATAAGGAGGAAGAAAGCACTTTTGGGGAAAGTTGCCCATTGTAAAATCCTGCCTTGTATAATCAAGAAGTTTATGGTATCAACTATTGTATTATTATTCACACTTATCCCATTTTGTGTCATTTCATAAGCCAGTGTACTTTCATATGAAGTCTGTCAGTTATTAATGGGTTTATGTTCATCTTGCAGTACTGGTACGAGTTGATGGCCATCCCATAAGTGTGCAGCTGTGTGATACAGCTGGCCAGGTAACTACCATGATACCATCTTCTTGTCAGACACACATACCTTTCAGTTTGTGTTAGTTATAGTAATAGTAATAGTTTGAATTTGTAAAAGTAGATATACTCTTGTAAATTTCAAATACAAGTTTCCCCCCTCCCCAGAAGAGTCTTCTGTAAAATGCTTTGATGATTTTAATGTAAACTACGATATTGTAAAGCTTTAATAATTCATCTGTAAAGTATGATATTCATAAGACTCTACCATATTATCCAGACAATCGTTTTGATATTGTCCTCCCATCTACACCTAGGTTTTCTGAGCGGTCTCTTTCCTTCAGACTTTTCAAACATGTTGTATGCATTTCTCATCCCCTACTCAAGCTATATTCTCAACCCAACTCATCCTCTTGTGTGATCATCGTAACAATATTTGACGAACGGTACAAATTATGCAACTTTTTCCACTCTCCTGTTCCTTCAGTCCTGTTAGGGCCAATTTCCAAAGAACTAGTGGACAGAATAAAGAACATTTATAAGAAATGTGAAAGTGGTATACTTAGTATTTTGCAGTGGACCTGCTGCAGGTAAGCATACAGCTTAATAAATATCATCAGATAAAGAACTAGGACGTATCTTATTGATGTACACTTGGAGGGGCGTACACAAATCACAAGAGAAATTAAGCCTTATACTAAACGATTACAAACAGAGCAGTGTCATTTTTTACTAATGACTGATTTGCTGAAGAAAATTAATTATTCACTATTATGTGAACCTCTTTGCAATAGTAAGTCCTAATTTAGTAGCATTGTCAAGGCAGTTCAAGAAATTGCCATTATTTATAATACTGTGGCATGTGAATCAATAAGAATGGATGAATGTGTCCTTTGATGTGGAGCAGACCTCTGGTCTTAAAGAGTTCCCACTTCTGTCTTAATTTTCAGTTTACAGTGGAGTCTTCACTATGTGTGAAGAATCACCCATGTTTACCTGACAGATGTAAATTTATGATTTATTACAAACCTTCCATTTATGCGAATGTGTTTTTGAGACTTTTTTTTTCATTTTTCAGGATGACTTCGACCCATTACGGTCTCTGTGTTACCCACATTCTGATGTGTTCCTTGTGTGCTTTAGTGTCATTAATCCTACATCATTCCAAAATATATCAGAAAAATGGCTACCAGAAATTCGCCGTTTATGCCCAGAGGCACCCCTAATTCTGGTAGGTACTCAAAATGACAGACGACGCGATGCAAGACAGCTTCAGCAGCTTGCTCACCATGGCCAAACACCAGTGACAGAGGCTCAGGCACGGTATCTGGCACGTCAGATTAACGCTGCCACCTATGTGGAGACATCAGCACTCACACAGCGGGATTTAAAAGAAGCTTTTGATCAAGCAATTGTCAGTGCTCTTACACACAGAGGTACTGTTTTTATGAACACAAATGAAAGTTCAAAATTCAAACACAAAATTAGAAAGAAAAAACAGTCACTGTGGCAAAAGCTATGTTGTTTTTCTTAGGAATATTAAAAGAATCCATGACCCTTTTGTTCCTGTATGTCTACAATAAAAATTCTTTGTCATATTTTTAAGAAATATAATGTAGCCATAGTGAGTAGCCATAATGTTTTCTCCATCTGTGATCAACTTTTTACTTATTAGACTGTACTCAGAGGTTGTGCATAATAATGGGGAGTCTTCTTCTATATGTAAATATATGTCAGATTATATTGTCTACAGGCATATTTGTATTGTATATTGTTCTAGAAATCAGTTTTATAATGATGTTGGATCACTTATGCTGTTATGTATGTGTAAGAATTTTCTGTTATTTTGTTGCATTGTGTGTAAGAAGGCTCTAACCCTTCACAAGCCTATGCAGTGCAGCAAAACATTTATTAATTAACAGATGATATTAATTACTGGCTCAAGTTGCCAGAAAGTATCTTAATAAATTTCCAGAAAAATTATTATTCAGATGCCCTTAATCATCTTTCCATACATATATTTATGTAGTGTGACTTGAGGTTTTTGTGGCAGCAAATACATATGTTGTTTGTGGTCTTCTGGGTTGTGATACCATGTACACGTTTAGGTGGTTCCTAACATTCAGGAGGAATGTGATGCCCCGGCTGGAACTGGTTGGTTAGTTAGCCATTATACAGTTGTCATGTAAATTGTTCATTCTGGAAAACGTTTCCATTTTTGGTATAAATGATGTACATAGAACTCATATATATTCCTTTCCAACCAGTTTTAAGATAGAAAGGAGGGGACTTGTTTTGTTTGTATGTTTCCTCAAAATCTCTATTTTGAAAATCTGCAGATACTTGAAAAAGCAAGTTTCCCTTCACTAATTCTATCACACATTAAAAATATGATATATAATGTATGGAATTAGTGGTATGTTTTCTGTGATAAGGGTTATAGTTTCGTAAGATGTATTAACGTAGCTCATTTTTATGCAAGTCTGTAAGATATGAAAATTATGCGGAAGGTTGTGATTGTTTTATATTTATTTAGCATGATTCTTGGTGCCTGCATGCCATGTTGAAATGAGGTCTGTATTCTCCGAAATCTTATTAAATAGGAGTTGTCAAGGTGTCTTAGTTTGGGGGGGGGGGCAACAGGCATGATACCGCCGAAATGGTTGCAGTTCCTGTTAGTGGGTCACTTTAGACTCTTTATATTTGCAAAGCGTTAACGAGATGAAGATTGCTGTTTTTTCGGGGATGACGCGACGAGTTATCGCCCTGATGGTGGAACCCACAAGGACCACTGAAAAGTTGGTAAATTTGTACAACCCAGACAGCTATCTTCGTCGAAGTTGGTAGCTCTTAGTTGCAGCATATTTATGTTGGATAGAAGGCTGTCGCCAACATCCGGAACGGGTAGGCACTTTAAGAAGAAGATAGAAGGCAGTGGGTATCGTGTTATGGAAAATATAGGGCGAAATGATGCTTTGAGCTGACTGGGAGTCCGAAAAAGAAGGCTAAAGATTGATAGTCTGCAGTGGGCCGTAGAAATTGTAGCACGTAGTTTATGTGTGTGTGTATTCTGGGCAACTACGACGTAATTTTGTACATTCCGATTATAAAGTGTTTATATTTGTCACACGACTTTGTGATGTTTCCATCCTGTTTTCAGTAGTTATGCTTGGTGCGTAGTCATTCTGCAATTCGAGACTGCAACGTATGCCGATATTTCCAAAGTGAGGTAATGATATGTTTTGCATGGTCGAGGAGTGAGTGTTGGAAAGATTGAATGAACCACGTGAGACATTGCTTCGTTGATGGTCAACAGAGTCCATAAAAAGTCCTAAACGTATATTAAACTCACTCGATACTTAATACCATAATATGAAGTGGGTTTTCGTGGTGGGCACTATAAATTTATCTTTAAAAACTTTGTATGTGGTATCTCTGATTTCCGAAGTAGTTCTCTTTATAACATTTCTTGAAGTTGCCAATTAAAACCATGATGCTGTTGCATCCAGAATACCATGACCATAATTGTTTGTGTTTTTCCTAAGTCTCTCCAAGCAAATGTTGGAATGGTTTGTCATCATCATTAATAATTATTTTTTCCATCCACATAATCAACTGTTTTCTCATCTTGTAAGGTCCAGAGCATAAGTAAGAATTTCAGATGCCCCAGAAAGCTTTACAAGGTAACACTTGGTTTCAGTGAGTGATCATGCAACATAAATGGTCAGTAGGGGTATTGTAAAATTGTCTTTTATGTGTGTGGGGAGGGGGCACCGACTGTGGGTCTTGCACAAGATGTCATTTTTCCTAATGTCAGCCCTGTGTGTAATATTGTTCATGGAGCTATCAGTACAAAATGCAATCATGAGGTACTACACAAATATGAAATTGCACGATCATACATGTACTTTAAAAAAACCAAACCTGAAATGAATAATTTTTATCTTGAATTAAGAGCAGTGTGAATGGTCCCTTTGTAAAATTTAACATTGTATATTTGTATGAAGCCTGAGTAAGACTACTAAATTGTGCTCTTGTCCCATGTTCAAATGTCATGACCCTATTTAGGTATGTACATAGCATTCAATTAATTTTTTGGAACATACATCAGGAAATGTATGAAAAATATGTTCATAAAAACAATGAGAAATACGAAGATTTCTGGGTTGCGCTGTGTAGTCTGGTCGATGTTAACAACAGCGCAACAACCCAGAAGACAGAAATCTTCATACTCACCGCTGTGAAAACCTCAGATCTTACAATGAGAAATATGTTTATATGAAGAAAATGTTTATAGGCCTCTAAGAACTTTTAATTTGTGCTGTTATGCAAAATTGTACTTCTCCAGTGTGTTTTTATTTTAAGTATTGTAGGTTGTTGCAATTTACCATTTGCAGTTTGCAAAGGTATTTTAAAAAGTTCTCTAAAGTTTTCAAAGAATAGCCCCTGTGCAAGTGATATGCTGTGTGATGGCGGAATGTTGCACGTTGAAAGGAAGGACATTCACAAAGACTATTTTGTAGTTCGGGTATTCATAATGCATAGAACAAATAGCAGCTATTATTCTGGATATCACAGAATTCTCTTTTATTAACATGGACATTTCTTTATATGTTTGTGAGTAACACAAAAGTAAAAATTTCTCATGATGAAAGTCAGTACTTCTGTCCAGTTGGTATAATTGTCAGTTCATGTATCTGGAACATGGAAAAATTATTATAAATCTATACATTAGATTTGATTCCTTGTAATCATATTACTTTATTAGTGACAAATCATTTCACTGCCTCTGAAATAGACCTGACTAGCCAAAAACAAGCTTCTTGGGCACGGCATTTAGATTTACGCTATTTGGTGTGTCAAGCCAAGTCTGAGAGAGACACCAAAAAACTGACCGCACCAAATCTTCATGGAAGAAGTATTTTGACTTGTAATCTGCCCAGAGAATGAAGGGTAGCACCCACCTGTACGTGTGGTGGAGTTCCTAGAATGTACAGCACAGCATCAGCTATGTCCTGGGGATGAAGACAAGGATTCCCATTGAAAATATCACGTGATGTAAAGGTGCGCATGTGACCAGCTTCCATGATCTCCGTGTGTACCAGACCAGGGCTGAGGCTCTGTGTAAAGTAACAGCGGTTATGGCAACCAAATACATTAAAATGTTTTTTGTAACACAAACTTAATTTCACACTGACCGTAACACGTATTTTGGAGTTGCTGTTGACAAGTTCGCGGCGGAGCCCCTCTGTTAGTGCTGTGACGGCATGTTTTGATGCCCCATACATGTAGAACATTGTGGGACTCTGAGGCAAACTGTGCCCTGAAATACTGAAGAATTCCAAGCAATATCAGCTGTTTAAAACTGCTGTTTAACACACTTGTGGAAATATTAGTCTGTCTGTCTAACCTGTTGATGTGCACGATGTGTCCATCCGTGACTTCACGCTCCTTCATGGAGCAAATTGCCTCCCGAGTGCAGATGCTGAGACCCAACACGTTAACTTCCAGCATGTGGCGCCACTCTGATGTCTCCCCATCTGCACAACAATGAAGTCAAAGTACAGTTCACAAAGTGTTAGTTGCTGATGTCTGTCTTTACTAATATAACAATTAACAAATATTTGTCGATGAATTTTGATCCTGGAACATGATCTTTAATGCAGTTCGTATCTCCACAACAGCACATGTTAGAGAAAATGGAAAAGAACCAAAGCTTTTATTTTAACCAGCCCATTTGAGGAATATAATCAGCTTATTGGATTTCCAGTATTAGCAACAGAGTGATAAAGAAGATATATATAAGGGGATTTTGTATTCTAACCTGCAAGTCTGAGAGAAGAATGGAATGAAACAAGAATATGACAGTTTCATGAAATATGAGGAAATTGTTAAATTTTAAACCTTGTGACTAAATAATATAATCATAGAAATGGATCTTCTGAAGTGAAAATAAGAGGACGAGAAAACATCAGAAATGTTTATTTCAGCCCACCTGTTCAACAAGCTGGAACATCTAGGAAGTTGCTGAAGTAACAACTTCAACCAAAGAATGCTTAAAAGATGTTCACAAGAAACTTAACTGCTGAACTCTGATACAGAGACAGAAAATGTAAAGGGGGGAAAGAAGCTTGTATTTTGGAATTTAAAGGAATAGCAGTTTTAAAAAAAAGGTTGTACTTCTGCCTTATTCCCAGTTCAGATCCTGGCTGTTCTTAATTTTTAGTGGTTTTTGTCAGTTTTTCAAGCAGATGGTTAGGCTGTACCTTAAAATAAGTTATTGCTGCTTCTTTCCATAAACTTCCTAACTTATGTCATGTTATTCAGTGCTAGATTTTTAACCTAAGCAATTCATACCTGCTAGAAACGACTGGTGTGCAACTCCAGCATTGTTGACCATGACGTCAACACCACCAAGGTGCTCCTTGACCCATGAGAAAGCATTCAAGATGTCCTGCTCTTTGGTGATGTCACATTGCATTGGGTAAAGCTGGCCAGGCAGGTTCTGCAGCTTGTCACATGCTTCCTGCACATATCATGTTTTGTTCTTGACAGCAGCTTGGTTCTGGGGAAGTTGGGACTGGAGATGGTCACTCAACTTCATTGAATGTCATAGCCTCTTGGTGTGATTCTTAGGTATTTAGGTATTTTAATGCAATTCAGAGGATCAGGTAAAAGAAACAGCTAGATTGTACAGGGTTGTCCAAAAAAATAATTAGAAACTTATCTTTGCATTCATGGAACACTTAATGGCCTGTCAGAATTGATGTCAGATAAACTGGTCTGGATTTTTCCATTGCAAATGGAGCTTCAGTTCACTTGATTTCTCTTCAGTTACCTTTAGTTAGGACCGACTGTAATACAGCTGTGTGTGAACCATAATATTTTCACGCACAGAAAGTGAATTTTGAGGAATCTCAAACTGTAGGAATGTATTTTACACACAGTGAACAGTGCACTGAGATCAGTATGGCACCTGTTATATCAGATGTTTTGACACTTCATTTCACATCATGTCTCTGCTAGCCTGTTGTAAAATTTCCAGATTGGGGACATTGTTAAAATGGGCATGATAAAAATCACACCATTTACAGGATTCGAATTGACCACAACTATGCTGGTACTTTCATAATACCGTCACTACCTGCAACTTGCAGTTTTGCAAATGATTATGAGCAACAACCACTTGGCACTGCGGGGGGAAGAAAAGAGGGGCCGTCTCGTAGCTTTTGTAACAGGCTAGCTATTAATGGAGTTGAGATGTTGGCCCCTGCCCAACCTCCAAACTGTAGGACCACCCCGTGTCGGCTGTCTGTGACTGCCTATTCAACATATTCGCAGCTGCTCGTAATTTCTTGTGCCTGTGCTTTGAGGACACGCGTTGCCGTTGTGGCAACACGCATGCTGCTACTCTGGGGTGACTTCAAGGACTTCAGCCTAGATTAGTGCCAACTGACACAATTATCGCTGTTGTATGTCTTATCAAAATTTGTTTTGTCCGATGCTGCGATAAGGCGAACTGTTTATTCTACACACACACACAGTCGTGTTGTGTTTCGTTCCAGAGACGGGATGTTTACTTTCTGGCTCCGGAACATCTTGTTTGTTTGTCGATATCTCGAAAATGTACCAAGCCAAATTACGGGTGCGCTCTTTGTACAGAGTGATTTCTACGGTCGCGGTTTACAATCTCGCCCGGTAGATTGGGCGAAAAACTCGCTTCACCCTTCACAAGGGATATTAACTGAAACGCTGTGTATGGCTCAAATGCACTCTAACGAATAACACATCAAAACTGTAGGCTTGGATTTCAGTAGTGGCATTTTTTACAGTACAAATCTTTTGGTATATTGTGTTTCGCTTTTCAGAACTTTTTTTTTCACTACGTGACACCAAAGTAACGAATGGTTTTAAGACATGCATTCAGCCTGTTTTACGCCCCTCGTACTTAGGGATCGGTTAATTATAGTGTTACAGAGTTAGGACACATGCAGTAGGACGAGTGACTGTCATGTAAATACCTGAAGTCTATGTATCCGCCGTGCAAGGCCGACCACATGTAACCCTTTCTTGACCAGCTCTTGGGCAATGGCGGCACCTATCCCAGAACTGGCCCCCGTTACCACGGCAACACGTCCAGCCCACCGCTCCATCTCTGATGAACTGCTGAAGACTCGCCGTGGTGGGAATATGTAGGGCGTGTTCGTGCGCACCTCGTAGGACAAGCGCGATCATGTTCAGCTGCACGCATGAAACATCTTGAGAACGGATAACCGGATTTGAATTAAATATAATGTTGAAGAACTTTGCCCCCATGATGTTATTTGTAGCATAATTAACGGCTTTGTCAGTAGCTCATATTATGTTGGATGCCGTGGCATATTTTAGGGTACTATTCCGGAAATTGCTTGGAGGGACCAGGGAAAGACACAAACAACCAAGTTGACAGACGGTCTCTGTTAGGGATTTTAACCCGGGACCTCTGGAATACAAAGACGGAGTGTCATGGTAACGACCGCGAGGAACTGCTTATTCTATCCATTTGTATTTACTACTGATTTCAATCTCATTTCAAAACAAAGTCCTGATTGGAATAACTTGAGTACAATGAAAGACTAAGAATGTCATTGGTTAGAGTGAAATATATTGTTGAGGTGTGCATTAGTGTGTAATTTTGGTTTTGCTGTTGCTAAATAAAAGTTTCACCGCCGACTGCTTGTGTGTGTGATAATGGACAATTTTGGAAGTATGTCTGATATAAACTGAATTTATAGCCTCTGTTTCACTTTTGATTTTAAACATAGTTAAGATATTTTGCTGTATAGATAACCATGATTACTCTAAAAGGTCGTAACGATGGTGTGTTACATTCAGTACTGTTTTTCTGAAGTAAATGTAGGGAGAGCCCAATATGCAGTCCACTCAATGAAAGAAGGAAGGAGTTTCAATCGGAAAGTACAGTCTGTGTCAATGTAGCAGTGTGGAAGCCTGATATTGTTGTCTTGTGACTGCGCTGTGTTAACAACATGACACCTGTTCGTTGCAATCTCCTTTCTGGTCATTGATAACGCCTCGTATCACAACACTCAGACAGACAAATTACAGACGTCTTAATCAAAGAAGGACGAAATGAAAGCCTGGCTATTGGAAAGAAACATCCCATTTTGAGACAACGTTTTGAAAGGTCAACTGTACGATTTAATCAAAGCACAAATATGTGATTGATTAGATTTTAGCAGTCAAAGAACGTACTGTGCTGAGCCTTCCGCCGTACCATCCTGATTTAAACCCCATTGAACTTATTTGGGCAGATGTAAAACAATGAGTTGCAAGCAGCAACAAATTTAAAATTAAGGACGTCGAGCACCTGTGTCCCCAGAGATTCGAAGAAATAGGGCAAGAGGAATGGGATAATGTACGTCGGTATGTGGAAAAATGTAACAAATGAGCAAGAAGGCATAATCGAAGACGCTATTCAACGTATTATAATTGAAGATAATGGAGTGGACAGCAGCAGCGGTCGTGATGAATGGAGTGATATGTCAAAAAGCGATGGTCTGTGAGGAGTGGAAGAATTGGAAGAGGACCGAAGAGTTGTGAAGAAAATAAAATTATCTAATACTCTCTGCAGTGTTAATTTTCTAGTGATGTGTAGTGAAATCGACTTTCCTGTGTTACATAACGTGGTGATATTTTATTTGTAGTGTATTGTACGCGGCCTGTTGCCATCCCTACCAGCAAACTTCTGGTAAGTGACTCGCTCCGAGGTTCCAATTCACAAAAGTTCAGCGGCCAATGACGCTGGAACGCAGTATATAAACATCAACGCCTTGGCGTTTCTGAAGCTGGCCTTGCTCCCGTCTTCAAGTGACAAAACCTACTCTGTTGGGTCCACTAGAGGCGATTGGGGTTGTCCCATTATCCATTATTCATTTCATATTCATATTCCATCGAATATGTACTCGAAGGTATGAATCATTTGATAGTGTTCATCACAAAAGGACACGGATCACCTGCAAGGAGGCGGCACACTCTCGTTTGGAGGCATCTTTGTTTGGGACAAGTGAAACCAACACACTGTGTGCATTATAATTTGATTTTCTTGATTTGTGCTATATGTGAAGCTGTCCTACGCGCCATGTAGGCGCTTGTAGGAGGGAATATATATGGCTCCTACTCATTCTTAACCTCGGCACTAGATGGGGTGAGGATTTATGTTAGCGCACATTCGATGTCTCGAAAATACACCTTACCGCTGAATGCCAATGGCCACACCTATTTGTTGTGTTTCGTGTTATGTTGACAATTTAGTTCGTTTAGTAATTCATAGTTTTGCGGATTTCTAAGAATTATTGTACGATTTCTTAGTGAGTGTGTATTTATTTTATACGTGCAGCTCAATATACGATAAAGGGAGGTAACGTCCCAACTTTCGAGTAGATTTAGCAATGATTCTGTGTTTTAAATAATAAATACTGTGAAATTAGTGCAACTGTAGGTGGAAAAATGGCAGTACAATAAAGATATTTTGAATCAGCTTTGTTCATGGGAAGGATGGGTTTATGTATCTCTGCTTTATGAACTGCACTTAGTAATTGAAACATATCTCTCACTTTAGTTTATATATTTATTTATAGAATGAAGGCCGAATTCTGAAAAATATTACCTTCTCTTCTAGATTGAGACACCAAGATAAGCTGTTTCTCTTGCATAAGAAAATCATGTGCTACCTTATAATCTAACTGGATGTTCCATACAGTACGCGCACACACATACACAAAATGTTTCCATTGCAGTTGTTATATGTACTTTGTATTACAATATTAGTGGCAGTGGTGTCATTCAACATTTGGGCACATTTCACACCAGGATGAATCGTGTGACACACTTTTAAGTTCACTTTTTATAATTTTCAGAGTATCAGATTTTTATCCTTAAGGTCTCCAGAATGTTTTAATTATTTATGGAGGTTTCCCAATAGATAAAACTTACACACATTCAGAAACTGAAAAATTTATTTTTTTCAGAAATGAATTTTGGAAGGAAAACACCAAGTATGGGGACACCATCAGTATACTCCCATATGACCACGAGGTCATCAGCAAACTTGAAATCATCTCGTTCCATGCGCTCTGTCAGAATACCATGGTATCAGAAGCCAATATTGCAAGATGCCATTTTACTTGATATCCAAAGAGGGGCACTTGTGACAGGGCTTTACTCCTTGGTAAGTTGATATAGTGCAGCAGGTATCAGTCATTACATTTTGTTGTATCTTGTCATATTCCTTACTCGGCTTTAAAATGTTTCAGTTTCTGAGTCTCTTCACAATTTTCACCGCTGTGTTTGATATATACTGCCTTGCCCAGGCTGCACCTGGCTCCACCCACTACGGATACTACATTATCAGCTTTGAATTTGTATATGTGGGAAATGTCCATGGTAAGGTAGCATTTGTACACCTAATAACTTTCACAGCCAGGAACTGAATAATGTATAAAATCTTCTGTCACAAAGGAGTTGTGCTTATTTGCAACCAAATGTTTGAAGTAGATAGTCTAATTACTGGTTTTTAGAGAGCTTAACTTGACAGAGTGCCTCTCATTGGTTGCCACATTTTATTTTTAATAGACTGCAGAAAAAACTGACGTCTGTGTATGGGAGGCTTTGTTTGGCATAAGTGAATGTGGTGTGCCATTATTGCTTTGATGAGTCAGATTCAGATATTTTATAACATTATAATTATCAGCATTTTTGAGTGGTTAGCACTCTGTCTTTGTTTTCAGTAGGGCCCAGGTTCATATCTTGATTTAGATAGTGGCTATTGTGGTTGAGGTTTTTCATAGGCTAGCAGATTGAATTAGGCCATGACTGCTTCCTTCCATATCCTTACCAATTTATCATCATATAATCAGAGCTACTTACAGGATCATTATGTCAGCCACAAATAAGTAAAATTTATCAATATAAGTTTATGTTAATAGTATGAATTTTTCTCAAGCACTTGACAAAATACTTGCATTATTTGTATTTTGAAACACAATTCCATTGACATCGTCAGAGATTTATAAAAATCAGAAATGTTAGCTGGTTTGTTGACTGTTTTTTCTGTTTCAGTTCGCAATGCTCTGATTGTGTTTGCCTTGTTTTCCCTCATTGGTGGGATGGCAGTGTTTGTTACAAGCATAATCCTTATCATTGCCTTGAGAAAAGTAAGTACAAAGCATTGAGCCAGCATGTGATTATGTGCACCTAGAAATGCGACTTACTTGAAAAGCTCTGATGTTAAATTTTAGGTTTCAGTTGCCTTACACCAGATGTCTCCAGGTTTCTTCATTGGGTATATTGTGTTAAAGACTATTGATGGATAAACAGCCCTTGCCCCCATGTCAGTTGATGAAGTGTGCTTTTTCAGTAAATGTTTAATTTTGCACTATAGCTGCTCAGGGTCTGGCAGAAGAAGGAGTTCCAATTACCTGGGTCTATGTATGTTTACATTTAGGGCCTTGTCTTTTTTGTTCTGCACTACTCTACATGAATAGATTTTGTTTCACTCTCTGTAGGAATATGAGAAGAAGATGGTTCCTTGGCTTTACTGCTTTGCCATATTTACACTGTTTCGGCTGTTTGCGTTTGTATTTGGCTCAATAGTGAATGACATGATATTTGGATACAACATTGCAATGTGCTTTCTGTGGATCATCTATACAGTGGCTAGTGTCTATGGCTGGCTTCTCGTGTACTCTCTGTACCTTGAACTGTCTGACCTCACCAAGCTTGAAGATCTTGCTCACCTCAGGGTAAGCAAATCTTTGTTTTATGTCATTCTAGTGAAAAGGTACACTTTACCTGATGTGCTTTTGTTTTTATAGTTTTATTAAATTTGTACTAAAATTAGTCGTAGGGACTGGGGGGGGGATTTGATTCGCCTTCTTATGTTGATGGTTACATATAGACATCATTTGGTTCTAGATGGGAACAATGGCATCCCTGAATGCATCTACAACTCATTCAATAGCTGGTTCTCGTCCCACAACACCGCACAGTACCGTGTCCACGGCTCCAGTCATGTGAAGGACATCTTTGGAAGTTTTCATTTGGCTGAAGAAATGACAGCCAAGTGATCATCATCTCATATGATAACTGCATTTCCAAACTGTAAAGGATGTCCGCAGTTCATGCGTTGATAGAAATATGTCAGTGACGTGAAGAATTCTATATTCCATGAGCCCTTTACTGGTAAATATGTACTTCTACATATCAGTTGTTCATAACATTAGGTTCTGAGACAGTATCACAGTAGCTATAGTAGAAGTGTAACTCCACCAGTATTTTTATATTTCGACATTTAACTGTTCATCAGATATTTGCTGTTGCACAAGAAGATTGTTTGTACTAGTAACCAGGGTTGTGTTTAAATATAAAGTGTTCAAGAGTGTCAAAATTGATGCATGATACCTGCTGCTTGTACTCACTAGAATTGGTGGCCGCCATCAAGATATTATTCAGTTTTATGCCACGCTTTGAATCATCGTACACTTTTTTTACAGTGTGCCACAGTTGGTAATGTTTCTACGGCATTCATGTATAAATGTGCCCAGGATAATCTGATTTTCCTGTTTGTTTCCGTCACCAGTTCCAACCCTCCCGTCTCTTATCACTTCACCTAAGGTATGTGAATTTGTGTGTTGCTTTTTATTAGGATAATTACACTATTTTTCATTGTCAGTTGTTTTACTTTAATTGTTTTAAGTTTTACTTCACAGTAAATACATTAGTATTTTTCATAAATATGTTTCTGTAATCTTTATGGTATTTTCTGATTTATGTAAGTTGCATAACCCACAATAGAATGCAATATTTTATTTTGAACTTAGTGTAGTTTTACCATTTACAAAACAATTAGAAGTGTTTTCCTTTGCAGCACAGATTCACTTCATATTTCTTCTTAATATTAACATATCATGTCAATGAGACAGCAATTTGAGTCTGGAAACATTCAGCTAAATGCATTCTGATCGGTTGTAGGTTTAAGGGTCAGCCCTTAAAACTGTGGACAGTGATTAATTTGCACTGCTATCATGATTTAGTTATCTTGGAGCATGGAATCTGTGGATCAGGCACGTGAAATAAGGGTTGTAAATTGTTTAACGTGCGGAAATGAAATCATCCACGTTTCCTGACTCATGCCCAACAGTTTTGTTTTCTGTAATGTTCAAACATATTTTCTGTAAATTTTTGTTCACACTCTTATATTTTATTAACACCCCCCCCCCCC